CGGAAACTATATAGACGGCTTTCTTCAGACACTATATAATCTTCGGAAACTGGACGGTTTTCTCCGGGAACTAGGCATGTACCGTAGCCGTCACAGCGTACGTCAATAAGCCCACCCACCCACCCCACCCCCCGTGCTCCATTCATGCAATCTGGAATGTGGAAGCTCCGAAGAATGCTTTCTGAAGCATGCGAAAAAGTTTCTGAAGTTCGCGAAATAGTTTCTGGAGAGTAGTCGCAGAAGAGTAATATTGCGAGCCTTTTGGTCCTCCGCTGAAGAGGGTCTGCGGTTTGTGCGCGTCATCCTTGTGCAGGTGGAGTGGACAGTTTCTCGCACTCCTCCTTGATACTTAGGGCTCAGTGTTCTCGTGCACTTTGTATCACTTCAACTTCAAAAGCTTAGGGCAGGGCTGTCCAGAAAGGAAAATGCTTCTCCATTTCATGAAAACCCTTGGGTCTTCTACATTCCTTTTCCCGATCTGGTTTCCCCACCACCTGACTTCGAGGGATTGCAAATGTCGTTTCGCCCTCAAACCTGACCTTCCAGCTGGTGAATTCAAATCTCCCAGCTCTCTGAAGGTAGCATTCAGGATCCATGCCTTCTTGGCATCATAGGTCATTGACCTGCTATTCAGCGCTCCCACTATCGTTCGCTCTTCACTTGGCTCACCAACTTGCATGCTCTCATCTTCATCAGCTTCACTCTCTGGTTCTCGAGGCTCTAGGAACTCCATCAAAACTGCCACAATCTCACGGTTGTCCAACTGCACCACTGCAGTCTCGCCTGGTTGGAGTTCTTCTCCTTGCATCGTAGCATCCTGCTCTTGATTTGGTGTATTCCTTGGGCTCGGGGTTTCGTCCTTCTTCTTCTCCAACTCGGTCAATAGGTAGGCCTTTGCCTCATCCTTGAGCTTCATGAAATCGAGCTTGCGATTGGACTTTTGGATGTAGTCCCAATGTTGCCACTCACCATCTTCAAACTCTTCCTCGTCAACATAGCCATTGGCCTTCACTAGACCACGATGGATCTTCTGGAACAAGCTTCCTAGCTGCTACTTCTTCCTTTCCCTCATGCTCAAAGGCGTCGATCATCATTCCATCAACACGTTGAGCTTCCTTCACTTCCACTAGCTCGTCGTTGATCTGCTTGATCTTCTGCCATAGCTTGTAGCTCACCCCAGCTGATCCAGCAATGATCATCACCAGGAAGATCATGACCACCCACATAGTCCATGATGTAGAAGTGCTCGTAGGTGTTGAACTCGCGATGGAGCATTGATCTGCTGGCTCAATCATCTCCCCAGCCACGTGCTCAAGACCCCCGAACAGCAAAATGCGATTGAGCAGTTTGGCTAGCTTGTTGATCTTTGACTTGCTCACTAGCTCGTTCTCATTTCTCTCACGCTCTTCTTGGCCAACTCGTTCTCCTTATCCATTGTAGACATTGCACCAATTGAGAATGAGGTTGATGCGACTCTTGGATAGTGGCTTGGTTCCCAAGTCAGCCACATTCTTGATCGTTCCCGCAGGCGTCGCTTTCAGCTGCTCTTGGAGTACTGCATCCTGGATCCACAACAGCTTGCCAGACACACGCCTTAGCTTTCCTGGTCCTCTTCGATGCAGAGATGTAGAGCTGCTGAATTGTCCACCGTGCAGCAATGCTCAATCTCCTCTCCTGTTAGGAACTCGAGGCATCTTCGGAGATATATGCCGTCAGCTGCACTGCTCACAAGTGCATTCAGTTCTGCCTCCGCCGAACTCAAACTTACTGACTTTTGCCCCCGTGAGGATGTTGCCACCGCCACTCCATTGACCATATGAATTGCTGAGCTTGTCGAACGTCGATGTCCCTTTGCGCCTGAATGTCTCCAGAATCCACCTTGCTCCAAAGCTCTGATGCACCAGTCCATGTCCGGGTTCTTGAAGTTCCAACAAGCTATGCTGTCCCATTCTATGCTTCAAACACCCAATCAGTTTGCCTAACTTCTTCAAGCTTGCCGACGTGGGGCATGACATGGTTGCAGCTAGCTCCTTCACGGTGTACGAGACGTCCAACCTCTCCTGAGACAAACAGATCCCACAGCCAACCAAGGAGCGATAGAGACTTGCCAAGTCATATCTTGTACCATCTGGTTCTAAGATCTCTGCGCCGCGTGGAAGCTTCTGAAATTTCGTCTTGCCGAGCTTGCCCCCGTAGGCTTCAACCATGCTTTCAGCATACTTTCCAGGATGAACTCTCAGACCATTTTCCACCTTCTCGTAGGTCCTTCGCAAGAACTGGAAACTGCTGCCATCTTCTTTGAGATGGTGCTCAGAGATGTCGAAGGCCTTCTTCATCTCTGGTATGAACTCGGTCATGACATAGTCCATACTGCCGACAAACATGATGTCATCCACATGTATCAGCAAACACATCAAAGGAGCTCTGCCCAAGCATGGATTCTCTGGGCAGAATTGCAATCCCTTGCTCTTCAACCACTCCGTCAAATGGTCAAACCAAGCCTTTGCTCCAATCCGCTGGCCGGGAAGGTTTCTCAAGACCTCAAAATGTCCTGTCGCTGTGGTGACTTGTGTAGGGGCTTCTTGCTTCACCTGAAGAAAGGCATCCTTCACATCAAGGCTTCCTAGGATTGTCCTTTCTCCCCCAAGTTGCTCTTCTGACTTCTTCATGAGGTAGAGAACGGGCAACAAGCGCAATGCCTGTCCACCTGTAGCGCAGCACCGCCTTCAACGTGCGAACACATCCAGCTTCCACGAGGGTTCGGATACAACCCTTCACCACCAGTTGTTCTGAAACGTCAGCGGCGCTCGAACACTGCCATTGAACATGCAATGCTCCTTGGCGTCAATGGACCATCCTGCTCGAAGTAGGTGCCCAAATGACAAGATAGGCTGTGCCACCACATCACTGAAGGTGACACGTTCCTTCAAGATCACTTCTCTCTCACCCTCTGCCTGAAGAGTGATGCTCGCATCTCTGTGTCCAAACGTGTTGATGCGTGTGCCTTGGGCATCTTGCAACACCGGTCCACCACCTCGAATGCGCTCACCCTTCCTCAGCATGAAACCCGGGAATAGGGAGGCGTCAGCACCCGAATCCACGATGATGGTGACTTCTTCTCCATCACTCTCCTGGTCATCTCCCCCAATCTCCTGTCCAACCATCTTGATGGACAGGTTCTCTGAGAGGTCATACTTTGGGTCGTCGTCGACGTCCATTTTGTAGAACTCGACCTTCTTCTTTCTGTACTCAGAGCCCTCAGTGCACTCCATCACAACTCGAATTGAGCCTGTCTCCTGCTCCGCAATCTCTCTCAGATCGCAGACCACAGGCTGTGAAACACGACGAATCGTCTTGGTTGCGCTACTGTCTCCTCCGCTCGTGGTGCTCAACGTAGTCAACTGTCGAACTCCAGCAATCTTTGGAATGGTGGCGAGGGCGCCCACATGTCCAACAAGTGTCGCCAACTCCTTTGCCCTTGCCCTTTGGTTCTTTGCCACCTTTTCCTTTGCCTTCAGGCTAGCCACCACCAGGCTTTCCTTTGCCTTTGTCCTTCATCTTATGGTCTTTGCTCTTGCTCTTGCCTTGGCCATCTTTGCCACCTTTTCCCTTTCCCTTTTGCCTGCCATCACCTTTCTGCAACCGGTCAAGCTCCATGGGCGCTAGTCCACTAGGGTCAGCGCCTGACTGCATTGGGCTCATAGTTGAAGAGAAGCTCAAAGCGGCACTCTCATTCCACTTGGTGTTGGCTGTATCGAAGGCTAAGACCGCTTCCCTGATCTTTTGGTATGAGCTTCGTTCATTCAAGGTCATGTTCAAATGGATCTTGAGCGGTCCAGTGATCACTCTCAGCAAGACGGCCGAGCGAAGATCTGGAGTCAGCTTACCTCCAAGCATCTCGTACTGGTTGAAGTGTTCCTCCAACTTCAGGATCTGCGGGAGGATGCTGGTCTTCATGTTGAAGTTGAAGTTGGGATATGCCAAAATCCCTTGCAGCAAGCTCATCATCCTATTGCGAGCTTGGGGTTGACAGTTTACCAAGAGCTGCCTGAGAGCCTCATGGCCGTTGAAGTTGTCCACATTCTTGATCAGGCCGATCAACCTTCCTTGGATCAATGACCCCAACAAGGAATATAGGAAGCGGCTCCTTTGTTGTTCCTTGGTGTCCATGAGGTCCCAATTCGTTTCCACCGTCAGGTCCTTTTCAATCTTCTCCAGCTCTGGTTGAAACTCGCTGTCAACAACCACCAAATACTGCTTCAAACACCAGTACCAGTCTCTCCATTGCAGCATCTCTTGTTCCCTGTCCGAAGGATTGAATATACCTGGTCGAGGTATCAACTTCGCCAGGTCCTTCTTTACCATCACCAAACTCTCCCCACCAGCCTGTCCTGCTGATGAAGATGCCGTAGTTGCAGCTGTGGCCACCTGTACCGCCTGGGTGGCAGCATTGGCCGTGGCCATCAAAGCCTGGGCAAGCTCGGGGAAGCCAGTGAAATCCATCCCAGTTGATCCATCCATAGTTCGAACCTGCCCTCAACGGTCAGTCCAACCTTCTTGATGTCGTCCTCGTAGGATCTTCTCCTGAGACTTCAGCACCTCCTTGGGGCTCAGCAAAAGGGCAATCTTGTAGAGGATGGTGTTCTTCACTCTCGGTGGTCAAGTAGCCACAAGCAGCGATTGCGAGGTCGAGCAACACTAAAATGGGTGGCTAGGCGCGGGCGAGCGAGCAAGACCAGGGCGCGCAGGGGGGCTGAGGGTCCTGGCCCCAAAGGCTCCGGAGCTCCGGTCAAAGCACAAGGCAGTGACCTTCACAGCTCCGCTACCATGCGAGCCTTTTGATCCTCCGCTGAAGAGGGTCTGCGGTTTGTGCCTGTCATCCTTGTGCAGGTGGAGTGGACTGTTTCTCGCACTAAATAGTTGCGGAAGAAACGTTTCAGAAGAGTGAATTATTGCGGAGTAGGACTTTGTTCCTTGATTGAACTCGATGATTTTCGCACCTTTGCTTCTCAGCATCGTCAGTGAGTTGTGCCCTGGCCAAACAAGAACATGACAATCATACTAGCACCATTGCCCCTATATATAAAGCTCCAACTTTGTAAGGCACCGCCAATCATCCATCTTCCTCGACACCTGTGCATATATCACCTCCAGCTTCTCCTGACAACTTCGTACCAAAGGAGAAATAGCAGCAATACCCAGCAGCGGCGCAGTCTCCTCTGGATCTTCCACTCTCCTCAGGCGCTCAGGTCAGCATAAATCTATCCACATTCACAGCCATGTGAATGTCCTCACCTGTTCTCCACACTGGAGTCAAGAAAGTCAAGAGCTTCTTGCCTCATCAATCGTTCGGCTTCTTTGGGCTTGACCACAACTTAGGTCCCTTGGTCTAATGCGCATTGGTTTTGCGGAGGAGAGCCATAGGCATCAAGTTCCTTCACAAGAGTGATCCCGCGGGAGTGGGGTAGTGCTTAGTAGAAACTAGTACTAAGTAGCTTAGTAGTGGCAAGGACATTATATGAAGAGGGCGCTACTAGGGGCTCCTGGCCGTACTACTAGGAGCAAGGACGCTACTAGGGGCGGCAGAACGAGGGTTCTTCAAAGAAGCTCCTCCCTGACGGGAGGCGCAAGACATGCCTCTTCCTCATCATGTAGATGAACAGCTGACCAAAGGTCAAGCCTTTCCTGGGACAACAATTTTAGACGTCGTTTTTTGGTCAAGCCTTTCTGGGCTAGTACTCAGTACAAAAATAGCAACAATCCAAAGCTGGCCGGGAACACCAAACCTCTGGCACCTCCACCACCACAAAGGCTGCTTTGGACATTTCGCTGATGACGGCAGCAAGTGAAGGCTGAAACCTACACGATCGCTTCAAATGACACGCTGCAACCTACGCCACCAAATTGTGCTGTGTCCGGCACATGACGTTTGCCATCAAGCAGGTCACCAAATTTGAGCTGAACCTCACCCAGGAATCTTTGCAAGCACATGAGCATGCCCCTGCCACACAAGGCATGGTAGCAGCACTAAAAAGGAGGACACCAAGGATTGCACAAAACACTGCTTGCAAAGCGGTGTTGCAGAATTATCTGCTGCATCTCTTCTACCTTGTCGGACTCTCTTTGACAGAAACCATGTCTTGCAACAAGTTCTTCGAATAATGCTACTAGGCTTGGTAGCCTTCAGCACCTCTCTTATCTCACCAGGAGTCTCAAACAATAGTCCTCGGCCTTAGAGGCCTTAGTCCTCAGATCTATGGATCCGGTCTTTGGGTAGTAAAGTCCTAAAGGGACTATAAAGAAACAAAACAAAGAAACAAGAAAAGTAAAGGTATAACACCTCCCCTTTAAATGAGCCTTACCTTTCATAGTTCATTTCTTGTTTCTTCCTCTAGGACTCCACTATGCAAAGATCTCAATGCCCTTAACAATAAGAAGTCAGCCGTATGGATCTCCATGGCCTCTACTCGCTTTGGCTGCCCTCCTTCGTCGTCATCATCTTCTCGTGTCTGGCATCAAAATCTGGTCTTTCACCATCTTCGCTTCGTGAAACGACAATGTGACAATGAGTTCTGCCAAGTTGTGTGTCAGGAGGATATGAACATTTTCAGCCAAGACAACACGAGTAGAGCGCATAATGGAAAAACAAGCTGAAGCAATCAGACATGTTTCAATTACCTCACTTATATAGCCACCTTGGACTCGAGCATCTCGAGGAGACCCTGAAATCATCAAACGGCGCTTGCTCTGCATCTCTGTAGAGTGAAGGTGTGGAGTGTCCTTGCTCTTTTTGGCTTCGGCGGACTCGGTGAGGAGTTCGGTGTTGTCCTTGCTTCCACAAGCGATCAAGCTGAGAAGAGCTGCTTGCGCAGCCAGCCTCCATGTGAAGGTGCAAAATCACAGGAGTCCGAACGGCGCCTTCATCCAAGCGAGGACACTGAGATGATTTTTGTCGCAAGGCTTAACACTTTGCAGTGAATATGAGTCAGCCTGAGTCACGCAACAAGGACTCCATCAAGCGTTGTGCAAACACGGCCTGAATCACATGTTCAGCACCACCTCTGATCCAGGCTTCTTAGTAAGCCCTCTATGTACATATTCACCAAAGGTGGACTAGAACTCAATCCAAACATCTTCTATAGTCATCATCAAAACCACCATCTGATAACCCATTCGCAATAATTACTTCCATTCAGGTGATATTTCTTTGCACACATGACTCCAGGTTGAAGCTTGCCTGCGAATCGATCAAGGGAGCATCCGTGCACCGGCTCACATCCTTCTGGTAAATCACTATTGATTTGGCCTCAAGCGAATGATCAAGTCTACACCGGCTATCCAAAGAACGATAACGATTGCCTGCAAGAAACCAGCCCTTTCCAGGGTAGAAGGAGAGTATGGTACCCTGCGCAAATGTCGGAAAACTGAAAACGGACCCTTCACTGCATTTTGTTTGTTGTACATAGAGGTTCCAGAAGAAATTGTTCTAGGATGTTCTAGGTAAACACATATCCTTTCTGCAGGACAAATTCGATATTTCGGTTGAATTTCTTTCTGTTTGAGATAAGGCTCGCACCCCAAGACCAGGAAAACGAAAGGCTCGTTCGCGACCCGTCCCCAGTCATACGGAACCTGCCCGTTACACCATTGCTATGTCCCAACTCACAAATTCTTTTGTAAATGTAAGGCTCGTGCCCGCTCGGACACCACCACAAGAGGACGCCTCTTCTTTTGACACCTGCAATGCAAAAGCGACGACGTCAAGTTGTCAAATCTTGGGATGTGATGATGTAGAACCCTCGGTCCGTGATTGTCACGTACAACTCACCCGTTTGGACCAGTCCTTGGTCATCTGATGGGGGTTGTTCAAAATACAATTTCCCGAAAACTATCCTTGCGCCGGCCATCTTGCGCGGATCTTGCGCGAACACAGTAAAACTACAGTTTCTGTTCAAATGAGTTTTCGTTTGCCTGTTTTCATGGGTGAGTTCCGTGGGTGTGTATGTGTATGTGCAAACCGCTATCACAAGCGGAGAGTTTAAAATCACATGCGGAGAATTTAAAACAGCGGAGAGTTTGAAACAGCTGGCTCAGAGAAGTCGCATTCGGGCTTGCGCGGAGCTTGCGCCGAGCTTGCGCGGAATGTTGATCCTGTATTGGCCACATTCCGAAGGAGTTACCTTAAGACGTGTATTGTGGAGACAAGAAGCATTCTGAAGCATACTTAAAACTTAAACCGGTTAAGACCTCACACGTTTCAGTTTCACTCCACAAAGCACAAGCTAGCTAGTAAAAACAGTTTTCGTAGAAATTCGTGTAACCAGTAACTAGCCCTTGCGCAAAACCTTGCGCCGGCCTTGCGCGATGCAGGTTTTAGACTACCTACTATCAATGAAAAACGTCGTGCAACTAAATTCTGCTATGTGGGTTTTAGAACGACTGAGGTCTAATGACACAAGTTCTGGGTTCCAAATGTCAGGGGCGAACTGAACAAATGTTCACTGCTGTCATGAACCAACTTTTGCCCTGTGGAGCCGTCCCAACAGTGTTCGTAGCCTCATCGACCGCAGGAATGTCTTCAAGGACAGCATCCTCACAATCCAGCTAAACGCAAGACGACGCAACAAAGAAGTACAAGCTGATGTAAACTATAGACGTCTTTTCTTGAAGACTTGATGCACCTTTGTGCAACCGATGCAAGCTCCCCATCGGAGATGACCTGTCCTTCCAGGCCGCAGCGGCTTTCGCTTCCCAGTTGCCAAGGAGTCCTCCTCGACATCAGCTTCATCCTGCTTGGACGTGTTTTTGTCTTTTCAGAAACAAACCAAACACGTGTATGATTCAAACATCGAAGAAAAATTATGGACAAGTCTGTTGTGTTGGCTCGTACACATGGCGGAACGTTGCAAACCCATGCAAACCCTACTCTGTCGTGTGGGTGCTTGCACGAGGGGGAGGAAAGGGGCACAGAACAGAAAAGTATCAACAACTTGCAATTTCCAAAGACAAGTATGGTCTGAAAGTGATGTACAAAAAGCGACTTTGACCTACTTTGACAGCATGTTCTGTGCAACATCGATGTTCGCTGCAGCCGGAAGTGCTGACGCAAAGTCGTTCACGGGCACACAGAAGAGCAAAGGTTCCGCCGCGCCATGGGTTATTTCGCAACTACATCCACATGCTTTGCGAATCTACCCGAGCACCAGCTTTATGGAATGTAATTTGATCAAACACATTTTATGGTATTGACCTTGCAAGGTTTGATGTAATAGAAAGGACACGCGTAATTATGTTCTCTTCATTGAGCGCAATCGGCTGCTTGTTGCTTCACAGTCTGGTGGCAAACTTCTGACAAATATGTTTTCAGGCAGGACTTAACCCCCGCGGGCACGGTGCTGCAATGGAAAATAGCTTTCCTTTTGCTGTTTCGCATCTGTCGCCCTGGACATGACTGTATTGCAAGTTTACATAAACAACCCCGAATGACATCTAAGCATAGCATCGCATCCCAACACATTACAGCAGCCATGACATTTTTGAGCCACATCACATCACATGTTACAAATGCCCAATAGACACATCAAGTCCCCAAGCATCACAATCTCAAACAACGCACACACATACACATGTTGGGCTAGTGACATCAAAAACATCATCAAACAACAACACTTCTATAGATGTTATAGTTCTTTTTTTCTGCCCTCCACCCCTGGGATCTCCAGGTAGTGTCATAACATCAAGTGTGCCAATCCTCAAACGGAGAGTCGGCCAGTATCTAAGCTCAGAATTAGGACGAAATCGCATAGCAAAATTGTGTAGTGGCAACTTTTCATATCTTGCTCACTCTTCCCTTCGGGCTGGTGACCTGTATGCAATTGCTGTGTCGCCCAAGCTTCATGTAGGTACAAGTTCTCAGATGTTTTAGCTGATGCTTCCCTTTGGTTTGTGCTGCCTGTGAAATGTAAGACTCAATTCATGACTGTCTCAGGAATGAAGGCACTTGCCTGCGACCCATGATGTCAATGACTGTTGCCATCCCCTTCCCTGTTCGGCATCTGACATATGATGACGCAGCAAGCTTGGATTATGAACAAAATAGCTATAGGGCAAAAATGGGCAAAACAAGTCGAAACTTTTAGCAGGCATAGGCAAGGCTTTTGACCCTCTTGCACCAAACCAAACATTGATGAATGGGGTGGTTTGATTTGTGTGCCGGCCCTTGCAAGAGCTTGTCAGTACAAACCTGCATGCATGATGCATGAGCCACGGCTCACACTGCACAGCGCCACCCAGTGATATTTGCTGGTCCAGGATGCATTCGCATCTAGTTGGCATGGCTTTGTTTCTAACTCTATGTCTATGTGTGCTTGTAGTTTGCAGGCCTCTGGGAGGTCGCTCTCCAGGCTCATTAAAATAACATGGTCTCCACGAACCTGCGGCTTTGTTGACTTAATGATGCAAAACGTCCAAGGCCTTGTATGTGATGAAGTTGCGGTCATCTTATCTAAGCATTGAACAAGCAGCTCGTCTGGGGGCTCCTTGGACAATCATGGACCAAAATTAGCCATGCTTGCCAGTGCTCGCTCAAAAGTCTTTTTACAAACCCAGTCTCCTTAGCATTGGCCCAGACTGTCTCTGCGGGAGGAACAGGTGCCCCCCAAAGCATTTCATCCTGTGCATTCAAGACAAGCAACATCAAATAGCACTCTTCTAGACTTAATAAATAAGGAGATGCGATCCCGGAGATCAGCCCGGACACGAATCGAATAACGCCCGCCGGAAAAAGGGGAAGGTGCAAGGTGGAGGGGGGCAGGATACATTGAAGTTGGACACCAAATAGAGATTTGAGAAGTTGCTTTGACATCTGCATTTTTCAATGTATGTCGAGGGCAACAAAAGTTATATTATACCAGCGTAGATCTCAAACAGTTTCTGCATTTATGATGTAAGCCACAGAGACGAACTGTCAAACATTCAACGGCTCGAACCGTTCCAGCTCGTGGTGATCAACTCGGACCTTCTGCGCTTGTTCCAGCGGACGCAGGGACCAGCTGATTAGGTATTTGCTTTTTTTTGGTTCGTGAATCAGTTATTTATTGATGCATTAATTATTGTTCTTATTGGTTAACTAATGTTTATTCATTGATATTAATTGTATATTTTTTGATCCCTATGCACCGGAAACAGAATTCCAAACACTGAAAGCTGAAAAACACATCCGGAAAGAGAAGAACCGGACAAGGTGGGTACCGCGAACACCGAAGCCGAATCCGGAAGAAACAAAGCCCAAACAATGGCGCAAACATGCCAAAGCCAAGCCAGCCAAACCAATCCAACCTAAGCACGCCAAAGCCAAGCCAAAGCTAGGCCAGTCAAACCCAATCGATTTCGGAAAAGGAAGTATGCAGCTGTGCGTGTGACATTTAGCATCCATCAGCCCGTATGCTACTGATTTCGAGGTAATTCGAAGTATTCAAAAGGTACGGCATCTGGTCCTCTCTCTGCACTATGGGGTCTGGCATGCGCTTGCGGTAGAGAACCTGACAAACATAGCTTAACTATCGGCGCAAGCTTCACTAATGGAAGCATTCCTGTGATATCAAACTCGGCGATCTCTTCTGCTGGCCTCCTCGAAGTGGTTGATCTGCACAAGTGCCATCCGGATACCTCACGATGGTGGAAGGAATTGATTGGTCAAAGAGTGTTTCGGTGTCTACTTGGCTCCTGGCTTTCATTCTCTCCATAAAGGATATCGTCTGCTGCCTCGAGTAAACAGTGCGAGCGCTTCCTTGAAGAAGCGTGAGCTATCCTGCGTCCATACTAGTAGCTTAATTAAGTAAGGTACTAGCTACCTCTTCTACTAGCTACCTACCTAGCTAACCCACCTCACCTCCTACGGCGTACCCCCCCAGCTATACAAAAGGAAGGTCTGGGCCAATTCACTTCAGCATCCATCTGGTCTTTCTCATCGAGGATTTGTTGCTTTGCCTCCGCAGCTGGATTGGATGGATTCCATGTAGTTGCAACGCAGCCGCAGCACCCTCTCCTCCATCCGCCTTTCCAACAAAGCCCTCTCAAATGGATCCTGTACTTTGGCAATCTAGAAAGAGCAATTTCAACAATCGAAGGTGTTCCGCAACTTCTGTCTCCTGCATGACTTCGGAAGTGGGATCTTCCATGATATCCTCCAACTCATCGCCTTGGGTCGCCCACGCCCTTTCTTGCTCCTAGTAGCGTTCTTGCTCCTAGTAGCGATGCCAGGAGCCCCTAGTAGCGTTCTTGCTCCTAGTAGTAAAGAACGAATGACTCATGCTGAATTTGAGCCTCGCACGAGTATCAAAAAAGTCATCATTGCTCTCATCCAGGTAATTCTAGCGTGACTTGTTCAATTCACCAAAATCATCCAACTGCACTAATCAAAAATGAATTGCATGGGCCTCCACCTCAACACGGCTTAGTTTGCCACGATGCACCAAGCCTCTGCAAAACCAACATTGAAACATCTTGTAAGTAGTACTCACGCTGTGCAAAGCCGAACATATGCCAGAACGTCTGATGTCTTGGTGGGTTACTGCACACAACCCTACGAGACCGAGAAGAAACAGCCGTTTGTTCAACAGTGGATACTGTGGCAAAAAGCCACCAACGGTGTCCCACTGATTGCCTAGAGCTGCACGACGTTTTGCAGCGGCGTCAAGCTTTTCATGCAAGTATGCCTGCCATATTCAGCTGTTGTTACATTCCAGTGAAGGCCCACGAAGATAGCAACTTCTTTGCAATACTCAATACTCTCCTGCTTGTCACTCTGTTCTGTGAAGTGATCTCGAACCTCAGGCCCCGCCGCTGTAACAGTGTGGCTTGGACCAATCAGCGGGAGTGATATGCCGTGAGCTGTGGCCACGGCCCAACCCTCTTTGTCTGTGGAGGCTTTCATGGTTGAGAGTCGAGGATTTGCCTCAAAACAATACAAGGCTGAAGGCACCAGAGTCCCTGCTACTTATTGATTTCCCATGGTTTGGTCTCTGAAGTGTCATCTTGGAAGTGCACCTGCACCTGCCCAGAGCCTGTTGCCCAAGACTCTGGTGACCTCATCAATCCAGGCCAAGCACACATCCCAGCTGCTCTGCACAAAAGGGTTTCACAAGTTGAATGAGCTCAAACAATGTTCACAAGTTGAAGAGCTTTGGCGTTGGATTGACTTGCTCGTTTAGAGTTTAGAACTGACAATAGTTTGACCTGGGCACAGGCCATTTAATAGCTCTACCTGGCAGGGCCTGTCTGATGTCCTGCACACAAAAAGCAAGTCGACCATAAGCCCTCAAGATTCTCCAAAGAAGGCAACAAAGTGATTTCAAGACCACATGCGAGGCCTCCCTCTTCTTTGCCATAACTATGCCCTGGCGAAAACAGCTAAGCATCCTTTTTGGTCATCTTCGGAATGGCTTGATTGAGCAGCTCCCAGTCCTTGACATCTCTATCTTGCTGAAGGCCCACACGGTAGTACTTGTTGGGAAAAAGGACCTTTTGCGCAAACTAAGTCATCAATGTTCCTTCTTTACTTCAAAGCTTTAAACCAACCAAATCATCTAGGTGCGAGGCGTATTCTGTCTTGTCTGCGGGGAAAAGGGCTTCCTGTGCCCATCAATCATGAGAGCAAAGCAAAGCAAAGCAAAAGAGGAAAAGTCCTCTGCCAGTCCAATCAGGTAAGCTCGAAAACCGCTCCTGCAATGCAGCAGAATCGAATAAGAAATGTATGGCCCTTTGCTCCTAGTAGCTTCTTGTTCCTAGTAGTAAGGCCAGGAACCCCTGAGTCCTGAGATTATCTTGAGTTAAATATTCACCTCGCGAGTTGGAATGCTTTGTCTTATGTTCAAATCATGGAGACAACAATTGCCATATCAGTATCACCTAGGGCGCAGGTTTTCGTTGTATTCCTTATTGGTCATGTTCCATAACCGTTTTGTCAGGTCATTCGCCTTACATAGACAACAACGCTGGAGTACCGAACCTGTCCCTACAAGCTAGGCAAACCATCACACCTCACCAGTGCACATTGAGATCGAGCGTCCTGTCACAAATATCCGCTGCGACTTCACAGAAAGGTACAGTCTTGTATGAAGAAGCCAAATCAACCTGACGAGTTCACAAAAGAGTCAGGTAGAACATGTGGAGCGTCGTGGATGAATAAAAATAGTAATCATTTGAGACATTTTCTCGCTGTTTCTTCTTTGGCACAGAAGTTGAGCGAACGCACACGCCCACCTCGAAAATGGTCATGGCCAAGCTAGAGGCATAGTCTTCTGCCCATGAATGACCCTGCAAAAAATCACCCAGTCATCGCATACTTTCAACTGGCGGGGTGAATGTTCGATCTCAGCCTTCTTGGTGATCTCTGCGTTGGACAGCATTTTGGAGGTCTCGCAACATTAGATGAACATGTTTTCTTACTTGCTGTTTCACATATCCAAATGCGAAGCTCTTTAAGGAGGGGTTACTACTTTAAGATGGCTCCCAATATTGCGCAACTCCTGCCTTGAGCAGGCTGGCAGCAAGGGTAAGGTATCCTTGCACCTCCAGTACAGTGTCGTGGCAGGGCATGTTTAGATGCTGCTCCCCAAAAATTTTCGCAAGAGGCCAGCAGCAGCCTTAGGCAGACTTAAAGCTTGAAACTGCGGACACTTTTCAATCCACTGAAAGCCTGCGGTACAGTTCTCGATATGTGCGTGTCATCTTGTGACATGTGAACACAGCTCAAACTTCGCACTCCTCCTTCGGTGCGTGAGCTTAGTTGTCGGGATTGCGCACCGACCTAATGCTTTGGAAATTGTGGGCAGTCCAAGTAAGGATAGTGACGGTCCATATCCTTATAAATCTTCAACTTGAGTCCGCTATCCTCCCTCTGGTTTGCTGCCCACCATTTGCTCTCCAACCTTTCAACCTTTGAAGGTGTTGTCGAGCTCTCAAACATGCACGGACCTTGGGTTTGTCCAGATCCTCAAGCATTCTAAATCACCTTCCGAAATCCTGGCTGTTGTAGCCTGGTTCATAGTAGGGTCAATTTGCCCTCTGGATGCTGGTGCACTCTCACTTCCAGCTTCTGGCATTGCCATGTCGACATCTTCCTCCACATCTTCTTCACTTTCTGGCACTTTCTTCCTCATAGTACGCGTGGATTTGTGCGTCCAGGCGTCTGTAGTCGAAGTCTCTCTGTTGCTCTTCTGCACGTAGTCCCAGTAGAGCCAGTCACCTGGCTCCACTTCATCCGCATCCACATACCCTGAGGCTTTGATCAGCCCTCTATGAATGCGTTGAGCATATTGCCTCACCATTTGAACTTGTTCTTGGGATTCATGACCATAAGCTCCAATCATCATCCCGTCGACTTTCTGGCCCTCCTTGATCTCAATGATCTCATCTTCAACCATCAACAAACGTCGCCGCAATTTGTAAATCACACCACATAGTACCACAACCGCAACGCAAAGGAACAATGTCAAAATGAACAACCAGCCTGTTTCTGATCCAGCTTGTAAATTCACTTCTGCTTCAACTCGTTCCCCAGCCACTTGCTCAAGGCTTCCAAGAACTATGATTCGGTGTAGAAACTTTGCCAACCGCTGAATCTTTCCTCGGCTGATGGTCTCCTCCTGAAATCGCTCATGTTCCTCTTCTCCCAAGCGATGGCCTTGTCCATCATAGTTGTGGCACCAATGTAAAATCAAGTTGATTCTTGCCCTTGTCAATGGCTTGGTTCCAAGGTCTGCCACATTATATGCCACGCCAACTGCCTTGACGTTCAGCTCCTTTTGCGCGACTCGATCTTGGATCCATAGCAGCTTTCCGTCAATGTGACATAGCTTTCCTGGGCCTCGTTTGTGGCTCAACTGGCTTGCTGCTGAATTGTCAACCAGACAATCATGGACGATCTCCTCCTCAACCAAGAGCTCCAGGCATCTTCTTATGTAGATCCCATCAGCAGCTGCTGCAACGAGGGCATTCAATTCGGCCTCTGCTGAACTTAAACTCACCGATTTCTGTCCTCTTGAACTTGTCAGGACAACCATTCCATTGACCATATGGATAGCCGATGATGTGGATCTCCTGTGGCTCTTCGATCCCGACCAATCGCTCCAGCGTGTCTTGTCGGATCTTGTCTTATGACGTAAAATAGCAGATAAGACAGGGGCCTCTTAAGCTCGCTTAAAGCTCGCCCAAAACTCGTTTTCAAACTCGCTCAAAACTCGCTTGTGCTGTGCTGATGTCCAATGGAAGCCCAAGAGTCAACAGGAAAGTCCAAAGAAAAAGTTCAAGCAAAACTCAGGGAAAGTCCAATTAAAGCTCGCGCAAAAGTCGTTTCCCGTGGCGTGAGCGTTGTGGTGAGTTCGGTGCTAGTTTATTTCGAGCTAAGCTCGCAGAAAGCTCGTGAAAAGCTCGTGCGCATTCAGTTTTTGAGCTTCGATTTGAGCTTTTGTCTAGTTTTCTTCTACCAAAGCTCGTCAAAAGCTCGTCAAAAGCTCGCGCAAAGCTCGCCCAAAACTCGCTGAGCGGGCGCTTCCCTGGTTTCCCTAGCTCCTTGAGTTTCGCTTGAGCTTTCCTTTGAACCTGTGAGTTTTGCTTGGACTTTGCCTTGAACTTTTGAGTTTTGCTTGGACTTGCCTGGTGAGAGGTGAGTTTTGGTTGGACTTTTGAAGTGAGTTTGGACTTTTTTTATTTTATTTTTAAGTTATAGACCCCCTTGTCTTATCTAGCTATTTTACATCATAAATCTTGTCGCCAATCCCCAACCTGGTTCAGGGATCTCCACAATGGTGCGCTGTCCCAATGTCCCTTTGAGATAGCCTATGAGTCTGCCCAGTTTCCTCATGCTTCTGGTGGTAGGATTTGCCATAGCGCCCGCCAACTCTTTGATCGTGAAGGCAACATCAGGCCTCTCCTGGGACAAATAGATTCCACATCCAACTATTGACCGGTATAGACTTGCTAAGTCCGGGTTCAGGTAGGTCGCGCCGTCCTGCTCAAGCATATCTTGTGTGCAGGGTAGCTTTTGTACCTTCACCTTGTCCATGACCTTCTCGTATGCTTCAATCATCGTTTCAGCATACTTTCCTGGTAGGATCTTCAGGCCATTCTCAGTCTTCTCATAGGTTCTGCGAAGGAACTGGAATGTACTGCCTGGCGTGGTCAAGTACTGAACCGAGATCTCAAAACTCTTCCTCATGGCCGGGAGCAACTCTTCCTCAATGTACTGCTGTTCTCCTGCAAACAGGATGTCATCTACGTGTATAAGCAGTAATGCCTTGTGTTCCAACTTGCCTAAGCATGGATTGATGTCTGCAAACTTGAAGTTCTTCTCCTTCAACCAATTTGTCAAATGGTTGAACCATGCTTTGGCCCCAATGCGTTGCCCTGGTAGGTTTCTCCGTACCTCAAAATGTCCTCCTGCTGTTGTCACCTGCGTCGGTTCCTCTTGCGGCGCTTGCAAGAAGGCGCCCTTGACATCGAGAGCACCCAGGATGAATTTAGGGCCTCCAGCTTCTTCTTCTAACTTTCTCATCAAATACACTGCTGGAATCAATCTCAATGTCTGTCCACCAGTTGCAGGACTGTGCGCATCGTCTCTCTTCGTGTTGGCGTACTCTCTGGCCACCAATCTTGGGCGATCCAGCTTTGGCAGGATTGGGCTTCACTCGCCAATCTCTCACAAAGCGAGTTGTCAGAACCTTGTAGCCATCTCGGAGTTGCTCCAATGGAGAAAGCACTCCAAGTCTCTTCAGTCTCCACTCCTCTACCGCGTCAGCCAAATCATCAATCCACTTTGGGGGATCAGGCGGCACTCTGTCCAGGGGTGCATCTGACCATAATGCTTCCGGAACATCATGCTTTGCCTCCTCTGCCGTGGATTCCGTCTCGTGCTCGTAGGACCACAAATCTTCCTGGCCCACCACCTTGTCCAGATGGTGAAAAATGTCATCTCCCACCTGAGTCAACTCTAACCTCCTCTCTGTAGTATCACTCGACTTCAATCTTTTCGACTCAGGGGATTCAGCTATAAGCTCATGAGGTGGCTTGACTGTAGTTGGTTTGAGCTTCTTGACATCTGACTCTGAACTCCGGCTCGCCAGCGGTGTCTTCTGTGCTGCCGGTCTTGGAGTCGAAGGTCCGGCTTGGTTCCTGGCCTCATCGATCTGGCCTGGATCAACTTGCACTGGGACTAGCTCAGGGATCGGCTCCTCCTCATATGGAAGCTTCTTATCCTCTCGCAGTCTCTCCTCTTCTGTGAGTTGCTTGCCATACTCTTGGGGTATCTCTGGAACTTGGTCCTTGCTGTCGACGGCCTTCTGCTTCTCCATCAAGTCTCTAGCCTCCTCCAGCTTCCCGGCATAGGTCCGGCCAAAGGCTATCGCGTCCCTTGCGTCCTGGTCATCAATTGCAACTTCAGCAAATGGAAGCTTGGGCTGGCCCCCCAACCATGGAAGCTAGTCGCTTTGAAGGAACTATTCTGCCCCCGAAGTTCTGTTGGTATTCCCAAGAATACCCTGTGAAGGACTGGAAGCATGCGAGATATTCCTTGTGCAGATTCTCCACGCGTCTCAATGACCTGCTCAGAAACACTCTGTTGCCATCTCCAACAATTCAATTGTCCTGCAGCTTTGTCTTAAATTCCCACTTTCCATCGAGGATCAGCTTTAAAGCCTTGTTTCGGTTTTGTGTAGGCAAATCACACCTCTCCATAGGGGCTGACTTTCCCCTCATAGGCTTTGCCATGCACCAACTCATGGCTTGTCGCGCCCCTTCCTGCTTGGAATTTGTTGAGCAACCAGGCACTGTGTCTGCAGGCCCAAGTCCACAAAGGGTGCTGACTGCTGAACCGGAGTCCAATACGCCCTGCAAGATCCTCCATCAATGTAGCAGCTAAACTCCTGATCCTTTGGATGGAATTCTCAACCAAGCTGTTTCCTGCAGAATCGTACATCTTCGTTGTCCTCATCGTAGTCCTTAAGCCGATTGCACTCCTTGCTGCCACCAAAAGTCGCAGAATCTGCCTCAATGTCGGCTCGTTGTCTGCATAGTACTGCACTTCCCCATGGCCTAGGACTTTTGTGAATGCCATCAACTCATGCGTAATCAAGCTCATCTGATTCTTGGACTTCAGCGGTAAGGCCATTAGGTTGATCTTGCAGCACGTGGACAGGCCTTTGATGGTAGAGTACCAGTTGAACGGCAATGGCAAAAGTTCCCACAGAGGAGGAGAAGCGGAAACACCTCCTGACACACCTACCCTATGCAGGATGGTGCCCATCATGCGTGAAGCACAGGGCTAAGCAAGACCAGCATCACCGTACCGGCAAAGCGCATGAGCAAGGAGTTCCGACCATTTCCTTCGATTTCTGCAAAGTTAGAGCTAGTGGGTCAGGAGCACTCGGAGAGGCGGAGAGTGACGAAGCCCAAGCTGGAGTTGCAGAGGAGGGAGGAGCCTTGCTACTGGTAGCAGTTTGCTCAGAAACAGCAATCCCAATCTCATGGTGAACTCGTTGGTCATCAAGATCCGCTCCACCACTCTCTTCTGGGTTCACTGGGAACTCCTCAAAATCCTCATCTGTACTGGCCTTTGGAATGGCCAGGTCATCAAACACCTCTGGTCGACGCTGAAGGACTGCGTAGCTCTCCTCAAGCTCAAAGCCAAAGTTCTCTGGCGCATTGCCCTCGTCAGCCACAAAAGTCATTACTTTTCCCTGCTCGCGTCCGCGGAGTTCCTCAATCTCTTCCTCCTGATCAAGAAGCTTCATCAGGGGTTCAGCCATCTCAACCAACTCCCATTGGTCCTCTTTCTTCACCAATGTCGACCTGCGCGCGGTCTCTCTTTGATTGCGAAGCTCTGGAATGAACTGGGGACTCTGATACCTGCTGCTGTGGTGCTCCCAACCAAAATCCGTCCATCTTCTTCCAGCCAAAACATCTTCAGCTGCTTTACTGAGCTCCTCACTCAGCTTCACCGCCAGCATGCGAACTTTGCCTGGTTCAAGGGCCACTCAAATTGATCCCCGCACGACCAAGCTCTGGTTCTGCGGCGCTTCAACCTCACCCATTCTTGAGACACTCCTCAGTCCCGTCGATGGACCATCCGGCTCTCATGAGTCGGCCAAAGGACAGTATCGGCTGCTTCACCACATCACAAAAGGTGTCTGACCCTTTCTTTCAAAATCACCCTTCTTCCATCTCGGCTGACCAACACAATGTCCACACATAGGTCTTGATCTGCGACCCTTGAGCATCTTGGAGGTACGGTGAAGTACCTGCCACCTGCTTTCCTTTGCCTAGCAGATGTCCTGGAAACAATGAGGCGTCAGCCCCAGAGTCAACGATGATAGGGACCATTGTGTCAGTTTCCTCCTCACTCTTCCATTTCTCCTGTTCACTCCCTTCTCTCGCGGTGTTCACCATCATGGCCTCACCCTCAAACTCCTCGTCGATGTCCATGTGAAAGAACTCCACTTCTGCTGCTGCTTGCCGAGTACTCTGCAATGCAACCACCATACGAATTGAACCACTCTCCTCTTCATCTTCATCTCAAAGGTCGAAGATCAGTGGCTGTGACACTCGACGGACTGTCTTCATGCCCGTTGTTTGAGTTTCTGCACCACCTGATGTGCTTGTGGCTGTGGTAGACAATGATGTAGTCTGTCCTGAGCTGGCAATGCTGGCGGCAGGGGGTGCTTCAATTTGGCGCGCTCGCCAACAATCCTTCGAATGATGTCCCATTTTCCCGCACGTCCAGCATAGATCACCGCCAACTCCCTTTCCTTTGCCCTGTTTCGGCTCCTTGCCCTTGCCTTTACCATCTTTTGCACTGCCCTTGAGGTTCTTGGACTTCCCTTTGCCTTTATCATCTTTGGATTTGCCCTTGCCCTTCTGGTCCTTGCCTTTGCTCTTGCCTTTCTCCCCATCTCCTTTCTGCTGGAGGCGATCTATTTCCATGGGCATAGGTCCACCCGTGTCAACTGCCTGCGCGATTGGGCTCGGACTCATGAAAGACAACGCAGCTGACTCGTTCCACTTTGTTGTAGCTGTATCAAAAAGCAAGGATGGCCTCACGGATCTTCTGGTAGGAGCTTCCCTCGTTCAGGGTCAAGTTCAAATGAAACTTCATCTGACCTCCAACAGCTCTCAACAGAACTGCCGATTTCATATCTGCTGGCAGTTTGCTTCCGCTCAACCGCTCGTACTGCAAGAAGTGCTCCCCCAACTTCAGGATCTGTGGAAGCAATGAACCTTTCATGTTGAAGGAGGGATACGACATGACTCCCTGAAGCTCATCGCGCGGTTCCTTGCTTGTGGTTGGCAGTTCAAAAGCAACTGTCTCAATGCTTCACAGCCGTTGAAATGCTCCACATGCTTCACAATGCCAACTAGGCGTCCTTGGATGAGACCTCCCAGCAAGCTATACAAAAAGCGGCTTCGATCTTGTTCAGCCCTGCCCATGAGATCCCAATCAGCCTCCGTGGTCATTTGGGCTTCTATCTGTTCAATCTCCTTCTGGAACTCCCGGTCCACGACCACCAGGTACTGTTGAAGAGTCCAGTACCAATCCTTCCACTGTACAACCTCAGCTCAGTGACACCTCCTCCAGCCAGGGCAAAAGCCTCAGCTCCAGATCCATCCATGGAGCTCCAACTCCCAATACTCATACTCTTTCCAACCTCAACTTCAAAAGCTTTATTCTCTTCAAGGTCGTAGGACCTTCAGGCGCTCCTCTAGGGTCAGGGCAATCACAATGAAGTGGGCAGAGGGGTTATCGATGGTGTTCGCGATCAGCTTCTTCAAGAAACCTCTTGCTCTGATTGCCACGCTAGTTAATTATATGGGTGGCTAGGCGCGGGCGCGTGCTAAGACAGGGGCCCGTGGATGGGGGTTGGGTCCTGCCCCCGTCCGCCGGAGCTCAAGCCAAATCCGGAGAAGTGGCTATCCTCGCCGCTACCATCCGGACACTTTTCAATCCACTGAAAGCCTGCGTTACAGTTCTCGATATGTGCGTGTCATCTTGTGACATGTGAACACAGCTCAAACTTCGCAGAAACACATTTTGGTACTGGGACGTTCTTTGGGAAACACATACACAAAAAACGCGAGGTCATACACCGCTTGAAAAGCACCTCAGCAGCCTTCCCCAAGATGCCCTGGATGACGTCGTCGAAGCAAATCACGTCTTGAGGTGGCTGCGCGGGCACAGCAGGAATGAACACGCAAAATATAGAGTAAAAAACAAGGTATATATAATATACGTATAATTGCTGTCATGTTGAAGTCTAAATGAACACCATGACATGGTGAAAAAACATCTGGTTAAGAATCAGCAGCAAGGGCGCACCACACCGACTGACATCAACCCTTCCACTGAATGAGCCTGTCAAGATGCATGGATTCGTGCAAACTGGTGAAACTTGACGTGCTTGATTCCAACTCTGCAATAACTTTGTTGACCGCAAACACACTCAGATTCCAACAACTTCGCTCATTTTTGAGCAGGAGGACCAACAGTTAGTTTTCAGTTATCATAGCAACATCTCGAATCAAGTGGAAGCCGAACCTTCATGACCATACAAAGCAAATGCACATAGGATGTGTGCCTTGAAAGCATATATGAGATCATCAAATCTGAGATTTGACAATTGAAACCTTTTATGTTCTCCTTGTTATTTTGCCAGATTCAAGAAACAATTTTGAACGGTCTGTATTAAAACGCAAACCAGGCGGTTGCTCTAAATGTATTTTGCTATATCAACATTCCTTGGGCATCCTTGCGTGCCACTTCTAGCTTTCTGCTCGCGCAAAACCACTTGGGTGTTGCTGTGGAAAGTCTGGCCAAGCAGCGCCAAATCTCAGTGAATTCCTGGTCGTGTTTCTCACTCCTCATACTCCCCTATAAACACCATGTTTAGCTTAAAAAGTAAACAAAGGACTCTGGGGGCAACTTTTGCTATAGGTTGACCAACTTGACATTTGGCCACCAGATCCCACTGCGAACTGACGACGCGCACACACATGCACATTTGGGATATTGCGTGCGGTAGTGATTGGCGGTTGGCCACTTGCCGACCTAAGTAAAAACCTAAGATAGCAGGAAAAACCAAGAAGAGTACGCGTAAGGCCATCGCGTCTAAGTGGGAGGGCGTCGCTGCGGGTTGGAGGCGCTCGTTAGTAGGTTAGTTGCAAGAAGACAAGGCAGTGGTTGAAAATCACATCACAACAAAACAGCGGCTGAACATCATATTTTACAGCCGGATAAAAGCGCAGGTACAAGAGTTGGCGTCCCAACTCTCTTCCAACTGATTTCCATACCTTCGTTGGGCACGGATAGGACATCAGTCTCTGTGCGCCCTGCAGAAAAACCAAAAGGTTCCCTTTGATTCCAAGGCTTTCACAGTTTCACGCGCACAAACACACACTTATGGATATGCGTACTGACTCGACAGCGGTGCCACACGCCGGCCTGAGTGAAAAAGCTAAGGAACCAGGACAGGTGTCAGTAAGTGGAGGCCCTTACTGCAAGGTTGGAGGCCAGCAAGACTCAAAACACGAAAAGCGAGTAGCGATTAGTAACAGAACCACATGAACCACCATGAAAGCAAACCATTCGACAACAACAGGTAACCAGTTTGGCAGGTACGTTTGCGCGGACCCCAGAGGAGGTCTTCGTTGGCCACCGCTCCTCTGGGGCCCCGGTGGCCCCCTGCTCAAAAATGAAAACTGAAAACGGAGTCAAAAGTACAATCCAAACGGATCCCTGTGACTACAAGGGGCACACGCGCACGCCTCCCCAAAGGGAGGCACATTTTGCTAAGCGCCAAGCCGGAAGGTTAGGTGAGACTAATTAAATTGTCGAAGTGCTCGGTAGGTCTGATAGGCCGTCAGAGGGAGTCGTAGTTGGCGAACGAACGAACGAACAGTAAAGCTGTCATAGTCCGGTGTGGAGGTAATCGTAGTCGAAGAAGATGGAGGACGGGGTGGAGGACGGGGTGGGGGAATACGATGATCTCGAAAGGAAGTGGCACCACATAGTTCAGCCTCCAATTGGTTGGTGTCGGAGTTCAAAGTGTGAATCAATCCAAATGTAGTTATCAACTCATGGGTGTAATGAAGAGCGGTGTGGGTGGCTTGGGTCGCTTGCCGAATTGCAGAATCAAGTCCTCGAAGTTGTATCTGAAGATGAGGAGAAGTAACACGCTCCATGTAGGATTCGAACGAACGAACGAGTGCGAAGAAGGGTAAGGGTGAGGTCCAGAAAGGCATGTGCACGAAGAATCTCTCGATGTAGTATTGCCTGAGGCATCGTCGGGATGCCCTCCATCGGCGCCAGGCCAGCGGGCGAGGGAGACATGGCAGGAAAAGGAGGGAAAAGGAGGGAAGGTGCTCATCGCTCTGAAATGCTAAGTCGCCGACAGGTTCCAATGAACCTTGCTTTGACCGCTATGGTCACCTTGTGCCCTGCCGAAATGGCTGGCTGCTTTGACCGCTGCGGTCACGTAAAGGCATGCGCCAACTTAGAATTCCAAAAATGAGACAAACATCCCACTTCTTGTGGCGTAAGCCATCTGCTGTCCGCTTCGGACACTTACATCTCCGGGCAGGGGAGATAACGACAAACCCCCGTTCGACGGGTCTACGGGAGGCACTCTGCGGGCTCATCCCGGGTTGGCACGAGGCCAAACGCACTTATGGATATGCGTACTGACTCGAAAGCGGCGCCACACGCCCGCCTGAGTGAAAAACCTAAGGAACCAGGACAGGTGTCAGTAAGTGGAGGCCCTTACTGCAAGGTTGGAGGCCAGCAAGAGTCAAAACACGAAAAGCAAGTAGCGATTAGTAACAGAACCGCATGAACCACCATGAAAGCAAACCACAGCGAGAACAACAGGTAACCAGTTTGGCAGGTACGTTTGCACGGACCCCAGAGGAGGTCTTCGTTGGCCACCGCTCCTCTGGGGCCCCGGTGGCCCCCTGCTCAAACATGAAAACTGAAAACGGAGTCAAAAGTACAATCCAAACGGATCCCTGTGACAACAAGGGGCACACACACACACGCCTCCCCAAAGGGAGGCACATTTTGCTAAGCGCCAAGCCGGAAGGTTAGGTGAGACTAATTAAATTGTCGAAGTGCTCGGTAGGTCTGATAGGCCGTCAGAGGGAGTCGTAGTTGGCGAACGAACGAACGAACAGTAAAGCTGTCATAGTCCGGTGTGGAGGTCGTAGTCGAAGAAGATGGAGGACGGGGTGGAGGACGGGGTGGGGGAATACGATGATCTCGAAAGGAAGTGGTACCACATAGTTCAGCCTCCAATTGGTTGGTGTCGGAGTTCAAAGTGTGAATCAATCCAAATGTAGTTATCAACTCATGGGTGTAATGAAGAGCGGTGTGTGGCTTGGGTCGCTTGCCGAATTGCAGAATCAAGTCCTCGAAGTTGTATCTGAAGATGAGGAGAAGTAACACGCTCCATGTAGGGAGGGGAAAGGATTGCGATTCGAACGAACGAACGAACGATCGAACGAGTGCGAAGAAGGGTAAGGGTGAGGTCCAGAAAGGCATGTACCAACGAAGACCTCCTCTGGGGTCCGTGCAAACGTACCTGCCAAACTGGTTACCTGTTGTTCTCGCTGTGGTTTGCTTTCATGGTGGTTCATGTGGTTCTGTTACTAATCGCTACTCGCTTTTCGTGTTTTGAGTCTTGCTGGCCACCAACCTTGCAGTAAGGGCCTCCACTTACTGACACCTGTCCTGGTCCCTTAGGTTTTTCACTCAGGCCGGCGTGTGGCACCGCTGTCGAGTCAGTACGCATATCCATAAGTGTGTTTGGCCTCGCGCCAACCCGGGATGAGCCCGCAGAGTGCCTCCCGTAGACCCGTCGAACGGGGGTTTGTCGTTATCTCCCCTGCCCGGAGATGTAAGTGTCCGAAGCGGACAGCAGATGGCTTACGCCACAAGAAGTGGGATGTTTGTCTCATTTTTGGAATTCTAAGTTGGCACATGCCTTTACGTGACCGCAGCGGTCAAAGCAGCCAGCCATTTTGGCAGGGCACAAGGTGACCATAGCGGTCAAAGCAAGTTTAAGGTTATTGGAACCTGCCAGCGACTTAGCATTTCAGAGCGATGAGCACCTTCCCTCCTTTTCCTGCCATGTCTCCCTCAAGAGAGGCAACTTTTTGGATAACATTTTGGTCCAGACTGCCCCTGGTGAAAAACAAAAGGTTGCCTTTGACTCCAGGCTTTCACACACACACACACACACACACGCCCCTTGTTTGGGGAGCAAAGGCTGAGGTTCTGACAAGCGAACATGTGTGCGAATACAGGAGACAAACAGACGAAGACATGAGAAGAAGACGAGACAAGAGGAGTGTGTGTGGTTGCGATGAAGGGGATCCAAGTGCACAGGGACGAACCATTCTGAAGCCTTCATTAAATGTATAGATGTGCGCGTGCACGCTAAGGGCCGGACCGGTGCGTGCGCAAAAGAAGGAACGGAGTGAGATGACAGGACATGAAGGCGGAGAAGACATGAAGCGGAAAAGGAAATCAGAAGTGTGTGTGAAGGGGGGAGGATGAAAGGGGAACCAAATGGAGGGGGCGGAAAACAACGAAGCCAAGCCTCATTAAAGCGGATCTAGGTAAATCGGTATGTACAAGCTGTGTAAGCCACGGCCGCTGCGGGCTACTCTTGGCGTTCAGCCTGCTCTTGTCCGCTGCGGACCACCAGTGGCATGCCAAAGTGGCGTCCTGCTCAAGCTCCATCAGAGCCGTCAGGTCTTAATCTAACCTTTGGCATAAGCCTCCCACGCTCGCTGATAGCCACTCTCATCCCGGCGCAGGGACATAGACAAACCGACAAGCCCTTGCTCAGCAAGGCCCCAGGGGGCACTCATTGGGTACACCCTGGGCTGGCTGGAAGCCAGCGCAGGGACATAGACAAACCGACAAGCCCTTGCTCAGCAAGGCCACAGGGGGCACTCATTGGGTACACCCTGGGCTGGCTGGAAGCCAGACACACTTGGGATGTTGCGTGCGGTATTGATTGGCGGTTGGCCACTCGCCGACCTAAGTAACAACCTACGAGAACAGGTAAAAGCAAGAAGGGTAGGTTAGAGGCCGTCGTATCTATGTTGGAGGCCATCGTGTCTAAGTGGGAGGGCATCGCTACGGGTTGGAGGCCATCGTTAGTAGGTTGGTTGCAAGTAGACAAGACAGTGGTTGAAAATCACATCACAACAAAACAGCGGTTGAAAATCATATATCACAGCCGGATTAATGATTAAAGTGCAGGTACAAGAGTTGGCGTCCCAACTCTCTTCCAACTGATTTCCGTAGCTTCGTTGGCACGGACAGGACATGAGTCTCCGTGCGCCCTGCAAAAGGTTCCCTTTGATTCCAAGCTCAATCTGTCACAGACCTAGCGGATTCCCTGCAAGTAGCCCAAACTAAACCATATGATTTCAGAAGAGCGTCTTATATACATACGGACTTTGGAAACAAGGAAAAACATTGACCAATTGAAATATCAACCGGTCATACAAAACCGATCATAAATCCATCACGACTATTTTGGCCTCTTGTCATCTTACATGCTCTTGCTTGAAGAGATTCCTCAAAGGTAGGTCTAGGTGACCGGCCTTTTCATGGTCAACGCACGCATGATGTTGCTGACATCCTGCCACTCACAAATAAATGCACCCCCTGCAACGAAGTGGGTACTTACTGGCGAGCCACTTGATCTATTCAAGATTCCAAGAACATCCAAGAACGCATATCGAATTTGGAACCTACACACTCACACAATCAAGCAGCAAATTGCACCCAATCCGCTTCGCGCCTCACGTTCAGGGTCTGATGCATACATGTTTGGTAGCAAAAATGCAGCGGAGCAGGCCTTCCGCGGTTGGGGAATCGTCCACGATTCGAGACTTTTGACATGCCAGTGTAGTTTGCTTTCGTTGTCCAAGCTCTACCCACCTGGAACCGTACGCGATTGAGATCCTCTGGTTTCAAAGCAGAACCTTCCACCATCCACACCTGCAAAGGCCAAAAGCCACAGCCCCTGGCTGGATGTTCCTTCACTCCCTACAAGTGTCACTGACCACATATCAGTGAAGCACGAAAAAAGAGTGGCATTCAGTATATGGCCATTCACAGCTTCAATTTGGTTCAATAAGGGAGCAAGTCATTGCAAGCAATTGCAATAGTAGCCTGTGCTCTGCAATTCCGTCCATTTCAACTCGCTGTCTCTTTGATCTTATGCAAAGTGTGGGAGGGTGCTGAGGGTGCAACACCCTTTACGCAAATGGCACCGGACTTTGGGAGGACGGCAGAGTCAGGCATTGTCACAAGTCGTTCGATGTCGTTTGTCTTGAACTGAGACCACTTAGCTCATAGAGACAAATGGCAGCGGCATGCGCAGCGTCCAACATGCCAGAGCTTAATGCGCATGGGATTCTAACTCTGGACAGTTCGAGCTCACCACTCAAGGAGTGACAGCCCAGGAGTAAAGCCCAAGATGAGGTAAGCTTGAGAGATTTCACCGTCCTGATCGTTTCAGCTGATGGATCTTCACACATGGCAAAAAGCTTCGTGCCACGAGATTGCAGACTTCGCAGCGCGTTTGCTACAGATGAAGCCAAGTGAAAAGACATGTGGTAGCCCCAGCCCACAGAAACGCGCATAGCACGTGAGTCTATATGCTTCCATGCAGTTCCAGAAAGGATCACCGAATCGATTCCAAAATGATAAGCTGTTCGCAGGACCTGCCCCAAGCAGTGACTGGATGAAATATTGTCAATGACGATGAAAGGCGCTTTCATGTCTGAAACATCCAGTGAAACTGGATACGCAACAACAAATCGGCAAAAGTTTTTGCGTGAACCTTTGATGGCAAAACCAGCATCAATCAAATTACTTTTTGCTTGGAACACCAACGAGGAGCACTTCTTCGACAGCTCAAGCTGCTCTAACGACACAGCTTCTGGTAGCAATACACTTCCCACGGTAATGCAGTGTCCTCTTTCCAATGCCTGTTGCAATCGCTCTAAACAAACCCAGCTGTAGTGTACATCTACGCAACAAGGTGTCCCAGAAGGAGCACCTGCATTTTTCAAAGCTTCTTCTTGTAGGGCTCGTTGGTATTCCAGGCTTTCCTTGCCACTAGCTTCGCTTGCTTTGTAGATTGCAAGTCGTGAATCATTCGTGCCTTGCTTGATGGGGAGGACACAGTTCCGGTTTGTACGGGCAGCAACGCGCTGTTTGGCCCAACTTCCGAGTGCTCCTCCAACTCCTCTGCACAAAATGAAACATAGACATGCCGTGTGGCTTCTGATGCTACCAGTATGTCGATCTTTGCCATGTCCGAGAAAGGTAGTGCAATTGGCTTGGGATCTACCTGGTGTTGCCGAACGTGAACTTCTCGTTCTTGCAGCCCAGGGTCCAAGCTGAGCCGCAATCATGGCCGAGGTTCACGGCAGGAAAGCCGTGGATGTCCAAGGTTTATCATTCGGCTGCAAGAGGTCATCAACACACTACCTTTGCAAAACTGATGCCGAACGAGCTTACACATGGCTGTCCCTGGTATGCTAAAAAAACTCTGGCTCACTTTGTTTCGTCAATGATCAAAAGCAATGCGGTGGAATATCAGTTAAACAACTGTAAAACTTGCTTAGATATGTTTAGTCTCTCCAGAGTAATTTTGGGATGGGCCTCATGCTGCTGAGAGGTGTCTCCGCAGGGTCTTGTCTTTTGATCGTCAGGCCCTTATTTTGCCTTGTCTGCTGACATGTGGTACGATTGGTTCAAGAGTTGCCTGAACATATCGGGGATTCTTTTGCAAATGGATACCAGCATATTTGTATATAGTCGTTTATCATGCAGTGCAATCCATCACGTGGAGCCTAGCTTGAGAGCCTTTTCCTTCCGCAATGTCGCCAAGTAGACTAAGATTAAGACTTCCTTTGGTGTTTGCAACACGTCCTCAAACCACATGTAGAACATCTTGAAATGATGCCTGAATAACCATACATTTCCGTTGAAGCTTTCCTGCAAAAACAAAGACATTTAGAGTGTGCACTTCAGCTTTCTACAAGTTCAATCCTAGTGATAAGTAAATTCAGTGGCATGTGCACTAAATGCAGCGCATCATAGTCCTTTGCAACCCTGTCTCTGGAGGCCTTCTGAAGGATTCGCAAATCATCGGAGCCGCCAACGCCTGAAGTTCCATTCAATGCGTTCTCAAATGGACTAATATCGTAGATCGGCTCGTTAAACCAGTCCCAATCTTGACATTGCAAGTATATATATAAATATAACTATCATGACCATATATAGAACGTGGCAAATGACATGGCAAGCAAAGGTCCGAATTCTTTTCTCAAACCTTTGATGCTCGATGTTGACACACGCGCAAAACGCAATTTTGTGGGTCAAGCAGGTCACAGAAGCAACAAAAGAAAAGAAATGAGCACAACAGAAAGGAAGAACGACCTATACCTTTAGAGAAAGCAGCAACAAAATCAACAACACACAGATAAACAAAACAACTAAACTGTAAAAGTCTGAACAAAATCCAAGATGTTCTAGATTCTAAGTTATTGTGCAGCAGGACTCTGCTTGCCCGATGGTGTGTTGTGGTTAATTTTGAAAGACTTCAACAGCAGTTGTGAGCTTGCCTGCCAAGCCAGAAGCGCACACCGTCATACATACATGTCTTTACCACATCTTACCACCAGCACCAAACAAGGTCACTTGGTCGGAACAAAACCAATGGACAAAAACCAACAGTCGCTTTGGGAATGCTAGACAACAACGCACCACATCATGCCTATCGGAATCTACAAATCCGTACTTCGGCAGCAACGTTCTAGTTCTTCACGAAACTACAATTTCATGGTTACTTGTAAGACACAGGATGCCCAACTTTTTGGTCAGCAAGTGCGAGCACAGGAGAAGTTTCATGTGCTTTGTATTTGTGCTTAAAGCAACGCGCCGATTGGTCGGAAACGTGCACCGGCGACGATTGAAGTCCACCTCTAAACAAACCCATCATGTCCATTTTGTCCCACACACAGTACGGTTTCAGCTAAACAGCTATTCTTTGTCAGCAGCAACGTCTAAGAAGTCTTTCGGTTGGCAAGTCTCTGGAATTGCATTCCTGAGGTGAGTGACGAGCCAAATACTGGTGTCGTAATGTCTGTATATGTCTGTGCTGCAACAAGAGCCTCTGGAAGCATGTACGAAAAGCATTCAACATCCACCGAAACAACAACACTAGAACACACACGGTCGCGACTTCTTGGGCCTTCGGCAAAACAGAGATGACAAAACGCATTGAACAGCCATGAAGAAAAAAGGGCACATCCCCCGACACATACGCCTGAAAAAACAAAGAAACTAGAAACATTGAGTGACACTGAAGGACCAAGTACTTTCCGGGGAATGCACCGTGATTAAGAACATAATATCCAGTCCGGGCATACACACGCAATGTCGTTGCCGTAGCATCCACAACGGACGTTGTTATCCCAGCCCCACCCCTCCCACCCCCCCGACCCCATCTCCCCTGTGCTTCGCGCAGCAACTCCATTCCATTAATGTCGTTGACCGAGCAGCTACACATGCCTTCCCGGAATTCCAGCATCTGTTCACATCTTAGCACAAAGAAAACATTGACATTCAAATGTCCCGAGATCCAGCATCCGTTCACATGCGCGCCTAAACCCAATTTTCAGCCGTCCGGAGATCCAAGCGGTGGATTGCACGAAACCATACCATATGGGGCTAAAATGCACGTAAAACCTGATTCTTCTGGGGCAAAGCTGCGTTGCGTGCGCTCGTTTACGTGCAATGGGGCAAAGCAAACACAAATTGGATCACAGCGGCACTGTTCGACAAACGTGCTCTGAGACACGTGGAGGACAAACTTCTTTGTTTGCATGACAGCCTACACACTTCGTGGTCTAGTCTGCCAGGGTGCTAAGACGTTGCGCCAGTTGCTGCATGACATTCCTGCGGAAAGTTGGTTGGAAAATGGAAAACAGTCAAAAATTGAAAAGCATCGAGTTGCAGGAGAACTCAGGAACATCCTGAGCAGCAAAATTCTTCAAGTCAAGAGTGTCCTTTGACCCTCTACATAGAGGATGACCACATCAAGGTCCTCCAGTCATCCAATCTGGCAACTGATGCCAGTGAGAATGCAAAGTAACAACGGCTTGCAGTTTTTGAGCAACAGTCTGAAATGCTCTCTGTGTGTGCTAGCTAGCGGCATCTAGCGGGTAGCTTGTCCTCAGTGCTGTCTTGGTTGTCTTTATGGAAGAACTCATGCAGGAAGTCCACCAAGACCTGCACCCGTTGAAGCGTAAAAATGAAACACCAAACTCAATGGTCCTTCATCTGCTCGTTTTGCGTTTCTTGGCTTACTATCGATCATGCATCAGGGCTTGCGTTTGCATTACATATTGTCTTGGACTCTTTTCACTTCCTGAAGAAAAAACATTCAACTGTGAGAAGAAACATTCAACTCTTGACAACAAGAATGGACCCTTCTCAATGCTCAGCTGAAACATAGGCTAATTACCTTGCAAAGTGTGTTTTGCACACACTCTCAAACACACACACACACACACACACGCGCGTGCGATTTAAAGAAGGACCTCAACCAAATACCATTATGTTTGGACTCCTCCTTACGTCCCTTGACAAACCGCTTTGCAGCAAGTGTAGCAAGAACATACACATGTACACAAATTGCAAATGCAACAACTTATTGGCCAGCATGCGCCTCGTTTGTTTTCCAACACCACAGAAGCAGCCCAGAATAGAGTCGTGTATATATATATAAACATACTTGAGGAGACGGGGGTGGACGAAAGGTAGCATGTCTGCGGCTGCTGCTGCTGGTTGCTGCTGCTGGTGCTGCTGGTTGCTGCTGCTGCTGGTTGCTGCTGCTGGTTCCTGCTGCTGCTGGTTCCTGCTGCTGCTGGTTGCTGCTGCTGCTGCTGCTGCTCCTGCTGCTGCTGCTGCTGCTGCTGCTGGTTGCTGCTTGCTGCTGCTGCTGCTGGTTGCTGGCTGCCGCTGTTGCTGCTGCTGGTTGCTGCTGGTTGCTGCTGGTTGCTGCTGGTTGCTGCTGCTGCTGCTGCTGCTGGTTGCTACTGCTGGTTGCTGTTGCTGTTGCTGCTGCTGTTGCTGCTGCTGCTGCTGGTTGCTGCTGCTGGTTGCTGCTGCTGCTGCTGCTGGTGCTGGTTGCTGCTGGTTGCTGCTGCTGCTGCTGGTTGCTGTTGCTGCTGCTGCTGCTGGTTGCTGCTGCTGCTTGCTGCTGCTGCTGCTGGTGGTTGCTGCTGCTGCTGTTGGTTGCTGCTGCTGGTTGCTGCTGCTGCTGCTGCTGCTGCTGCTGGCTGGCGCTGTTGCTGCTGCTGTTGCTGCTGCTGCTGGTTGCTGCTGCTGCTGCTTGCTGCTGCTGCTTGCTGCTGCTGCTGCTGGTTGCTGCTGCTGCTGGTTGCTGGTTGCTGCTGCTGGTTGCTGGTTGCTGCTGCTGGTTGCTGGTTGCTGCTGCTGGTTGCTGCTGCTGCTGCTGGTTGCTGCTCCTGCTGGTTGCTGTTGCTGCTCCTGCTGGTTGCTGCTGCTGCTCCTGCTGGTTGCTGCTCCTGCTGGTTGCTGCTGCTGTTTGGCTGTTGCTGTTGCTACTTCTTGCTGGTTGCTGCTGTTGCTCGAATCCTGAAGGCTGCTGCTGCTTTGCTGTCCCCCCCCTCTTTCAATTTCGTCTGCGCAACCCCCCCAAAACTGAACGAAAACCAAGGGTTGTGGAGGCCAAACTTGTGTGAGCTTTGGTGCTTTGCTGGCTGCTTGCTTCTGCTCAGATCACTACCAAATTCTCCGCGGCGCAGGGTGGAGTCGAATGGGGGGGGCATTTAAAACCAACTTAAACCATCGAAATCAAGCGTCGGACCACTTCACCACCCCCAATACATTTTTGCTAAAGCAAAGACAACTCAGGTAGCGTAACCGCTACCTTTCGAAACGAACGCTCGAAAACATGGAAGACAGTCAATGTCTTCAAGAACATCACAGGTGCCTCCAAATCAATCTCTCATGTCTCACACTGAGTGCAAAGGTTGGTGTTGTGTGGCCAGGTGTGGAGTAACGACACCAAGAACATATTCCGCCGGATCTTTTGAGCATTCTTTGTCGATTCCTAGCTTGAGTCCACAATACTGCCAATACCCCATTTCAGATATTTCAGGACTGCCCAAAAAATCAGGCAATGATGTAAAGACTGATTGACACGGCACCAGCATGCACAACCTTTGGCCTTTGACACCCAAAATCATAGACCATGGATGACCATGGCAACGACGGTGTCCGGCTACGACAGTGTCTAGCACCGAGCCTGCAAGGATGGCGTGCCTGTGATGACGATGTGCCTTTGGTTTGTGCGGCCGCGGGTTGTCATTTCGGTGAACACTTAAGGCTGTCTTACGTGGTCATTCTTTGAACTAATTCTGAGTACTTTCCACTTATATTTTTACTTTGTTGCACAACTGCAAGCCCTTTCCTGCTGATGTATTGTGCCTGAAGCCAGATCGGTTGGGATACCGAGGTCTTGAAAGACCTCCAGTCTCATTGTTCTGAAGCACCCTGGCCCGACAGGCTTAAGTTGCACAAAACAAGGCCTGCCACTTGTCCTGACTTGATCAATATTAGAAGAAACACACCCTAAGTGGGTCTACAATGGTCTACATGGCCAGTCGGCGAATTCGTAGGCTGTCCAGGGTCAACTCAGACCGGGATGACTTCATGAGGACTCCAATCACGAGATATGCCTGAGTTTCACGAGATATAGCAAAGCAAACATGCAAGACTTCTTCAATATTTTGAGAACTCAGTAGCAAACGCAGGCACCAGTGCCCACTACAGAAAGGACCTCAAACTTAAGTTGGATTGTCAACAGCGCCATGAGAAGGCAGGAGGTTGTCAAAATAAAGCACCGCCCAGGAGGCTGACCTGTGCAACTGGATTCCTGGGCCAAAACACATTGTAGATAAGTACATCCACGAGAACAGGGAAGAAGCAAATCAAAACGGGGCCTTGGATGCAAATCTCCAAAGCCTGAGACTTCTCTCAACATGTGACACGCATGAGGGCTCGTGTGCCACTTTCTCTAAACTCTAGACAGTAACCTGAGCATAGGTAATGTGTGCCTGTTTTGCAGGTGTTGACAAACATGAGGTAGAGCGAAGCATAGACTGACCACCTCACAATAAGGTGGGAAAGCTGGGAGAAGGAATGCTCCAATAATCCAAATATTGCAGTTGAAACGCCTTTCAACAGCAGTAGCATTTTCACCTGCAGGCAGGGTGGTTCTTAACACAAGGTGGTTCTTAACACATGAAGTGCCGTGCTAGTGCCCCCCGCCTGTAGGTGGCTCACTGCCATTTAGAAAATTGGGATCAACTCCATCCAGGGTCTCCATCTGCAGCACACCAAATGCGGCCACACCACACCACCCGTACTAGTTTATCGCTCCAAGAACAAATCACCGAAAGAAAGCCCGTCCGTCCTGGTCCTGGTTCGCACAATTTTGCACAAATCTTTCATGTGCAAAGGCACCTCTCTGATGAACATTCCAATGGAAAATGTGCCAGAAAGGAATGTTGCCTCGGTGACACTGGTCTTTTGAGCGCTTCCTGTGGTTTGTTGCAAACAATGCGTTCAAATAAACCATCTTGCACTAGAGGTAGCACGAAGTTGCACATTGTGTTTCAGCCCTTTGCACCGCTTCAAGCTTCACAATCTGGGAGCCGCGCCGCATACATTGTGAGATGGTCTGTGAACTTCATCCTTCAAGTCCGCCAAGTTCCAAGAAGGCGCATGCGACGCATGTGTTCTTGTAATGCCAGGAGCGACTAGTAGCGGTGTCCTTTGTTACTAGTGGGTTCTAGTTACTAGTGTTCTTTTCCATTATCAACGAGGAACACATAGTTAAGTCCAAGACTTGCAAAAAATACATTGGAGGCCCTATTGGTTTCAGTTGCACTCATTTTTACTAGGAACAAAGGGCATCGCTACTAGGAGCAAGGACGCTACTAGTAGCTCCTGGCCTTACTACTAGTAACAAAAAGCCACTAGGAACAAGGGCATCGCAAGTAAAAGACCAAGACTGTCAAGATGTAAACCTGGATCTCCAGGTTCTGGCCTTCCACGTCGATGGAACATCACCCAATCGCACCAGATCTGGGATGCCTGGTAGAGATGCCAGGGATTTTCTGCAAAACTTTAGTGTTTGGTATTTGAATGTATTTGATGTATTTTGATACAGGTTGTGAACCTGCGAAATGCTTTTCTCCATCTCAGGTCCATGCCCGAACTGAAGCACAGAAAGCAAAGGAGAAATGTGAGGTCTGTCCCGAGAGACTGCAGCGAAGGTCAAAATCACTGCAGGTATTTCCACAAAACCAAGAGTTGTGAGATGGTCAAAACCAGTGTCGCCGAGCCTTCGGTACAAAACCGATGGGATGACCAAGCAAGCCACAAACTGTCGCACAATCTTGTGTCTGATTCTGCATGTCATAGAATGTTGACGTCTTAACATCATGTGTACATACATTTAGTTCACTTGCTGCTGTCTTGGCATCCGACCACATAATTGAAAAAGAATGCCAAAATGCCGTCCACGCCAGCACTGGAAAAATGGAGCCTCACACAAAAAGCATGGCATCATGGAATCATTCCGTGAAATGATTCAATCTCTTGGACTTCTCAGGACTAACTCAGAATGTTCAGAGAACAGTGCGGAGAAGGGAAGGTTCGGTGCCAGTGTAGCAACCAGTTAAACACAATTGCCAAAGGATTGAACTCAACTTGATTGACATGCAGCAAATTGTCTAAACAACTTGGTGCAATATGATGACTAAGCACAAACAAAAAGCTTGTACGATATTGGACAGGCTCAGGCATCGACCATGTAATGAATGCCTGAGCTCGTACAAGGCTCAGTGTAATTGTCTCAGATACTTCACGAACACCCAATGCAAGCACTTCGCCTCTGTGCTGTAGAAGGCAGCTGCAGTCAATTCCACGAAGGTCCTTAGCGCACCCCAGTAATTGCAGGATGTGGGATAAGGAAAGTGGTTATTCTAGGCTGTATGACTGTATGAGACTTGGAGTGGCAACAACAACTAACGACCTTGAATCACAACTTCAACATCGACAGGTTTCCAGGAAGTGGGTTGTTCATGAAGAAACTAGTGAAAAAGGAACATAGGAACTGAGTCTTCCTTCAATGCTATGGAGTTGGCTTCCTTTCATGCTGGGTCAGCTCTATGCCGGCTAAGTCATTGGCAAGTTCTCATCCAGCGTCATTCCCCTCAGAATCAATGACTCAGGAATTTCCTTTATGCCTTTTTGTATTCTTTTTGGGGGTGAGGGGGTCGAAGGAAAACAAGGGTTCTTATATAAAGGGCAGGAGCAGCCTTGATTGAAGAACACTTGACGCAAAACATGAAAGTGTTCAAAGGACCCCCAAACAATTCGAATGAACACCCACCTGGTGAACGCATGCTGTCATACTGTTACTCCAAGTGCACGCTAGCTTATTGGGGGAGCTACTTTGTGCGAGCCGGTGCGCACAAGCCCCTGTTGTTCTTTCGATATTTTTCTCGAACGAAAGGAACAACCACAAAGCTTAAGCTGCGCTGCTGAGCATCCAACAATAGGTTAAACGTTTTGTGCCACGAAATCAATGCACTTAGACTTGCACTCGGAATTAAAAGGTGACTGATCTTCTGCACGAAACGCGTGTGAGAATGTTCGACCCCCTCTAAAGTGGTGCGGCTGGGAAAAAGCTTGGCTCTGAACAGGTCAACTGTTTCTACTTGCGATGCCCTTGTTCCTAGTAGCTTTTTGTTACTAGTAGTAAGGCCAGGAGCCCCTAGTAGCGTCCTTGCTCCTAGTACCGATGCCCTTTGCTCCTCGTAGCTCCTATGTTTCGGAAACTACTGTACCGTTTCAAGACTGCTTGGCATGTTTCGAATTCACAAGTGTCTGCACGAAGTGTCACGAAGCTATATTGTGCTATGGCAATCACAAAGAACGTGCTTCACCCGCTTCCACCCTCCAAGTCAGCAAGTGTCTACAGGAAGCAACATAGTGTTGCAATTGTGGTTTCTGATGGTATCTGACAAACATGCAGTTTCAGACAATTGGTATATATCAGAAAACACACACTGTCAGTATATAGTTTCTGGCAATAGGTTCTGAACCGCAGTTTCTGAAACGCACGCACAGTCGCTGAAGCGTGGTTTCTGAAGCGCACACAGTTACTGAAACTGAGTTTGATCTTCTGAACATGCTTACAAACAGAAAAGAATTGCTGGGAGAAGAAGAGCTCTCCAGGTTCTTGGTCGGCCCTACAGCTTGATGAAAGCGGACCGTGTGCAAGTTCGCTGATGCAAAGCTCTCCAGGAGCAGGAGGACGCCATGACTTAACTCCACCACCCCTTACCCCTTTGCAGTGTTTGGAGAAACAACTCGAGAGACCTGACTCACACCACTAGCAGCTAGTAGTAACAAGTGCCACGCTAGTAGTAACAAGTGCCTTACTAGTAGTAACAAGGTTCGCTAGTAGGAACAAGTGCATCGCTACTGGCAAAAAGGTGTGGTGAGCACAGTAGTCTAGAACAGCAGGTCTGTGGCAGCAAGAATTGAAAAGTCACAGTCGACTGACAAGCTATTACACGCTATTACTCTATCTCTGCTCAGAGCCTGGCTCTGAACGCAACACATACAGGACGACCAGGAATATCATGAGGATGAACATGAAAATGTTCCAATACCTCAAAAAACAAACGTCGGCCGCGTTCAATCCGACAAAAACAATTCGCCACTAGGATTCAGGTATCGCACACACTGCTCTTGAGAACTGCAAGTTGCTGCGACAACCTCAGTCGGCGGTCGGCGATGTAGCGGGAAATCTATTCTGCAATGTTTCGATCAAAGCATCAGGCTTCCTGTTCATGGACTCTGGCGACCACAATCGCCTTGATAGCTGCAAAGAATGAACACAGTAACACGCCCGATTTGTCCTGCCTTGAGATGCCCAGCAGCAAAGTGACCACGAACAAGCCACCCCACAAGGACAGGAACAGGATCTCGGTACAACTGGCTTTTCCAACTAAACCAAATACTTTCTGAAATGTTCAATGTTCCTGATAGACCCCTTGCAGTGCCTTGCGTCAGGTTATCGAATGGTTTGCCGTTTTCCTTGGATCTGAACCAGCTGAGCTTGTGCTTCCTCCCATGATGCCTGGGTGATCACCTCAGTCGGACAGTTGTGGGATTGAACATGACTAAAACATGGTGTTGTATCTGTTTCAGTGCTCTTCAATTTGAACACTTAGTGAGGCACATGTTTCTTGGTGACAGTCGTGAAGGCATCTTTGGCTCGAGTATCCACCTAGTCTCTTCAAAAATTGTCAAAGTAATTATTGTAGTTCAGAAACTGTCACTGCAATTTCAAGGCAGACCGGTGTTGTAGTGGTGTTGACCACGACATCCTCCTCCAAAATGTCCATCTCAGCGCATCAGCCCATCACAGCTCCTGGGGCATTGCAGCAGGCACATTCGACTGATGCAAGGTCACGTTTGGTATTTGAGCGTCCGGCTTTCATCGCGGAAGATGCTGCTAAGGCACTTGATTCAACTTAAGCAAAGGTGAACTGCCAAAAAGGGGGATTCAGCTTAGTGTCACTTGATTCGATTAGCCTGTCCTCTCTGCTTAATCTGTGCAAATCTCAGTCTCCAATTTTAATTATAATTACTGGCGCTAGTATGTAGATTGCCATGATTCTATTCGATGCTTGGTTTGGCAATGAGGTGAGTCTCTGTTGGTATGCGGTTGGCCTTGATGGTGGTTGCAATGATGTGCATGACTCATTATGTATGAAAACAGTACATGACAATCGTCCATCCTAATCCGTCCTAAAACCTCAGAGAGTACTTGTCATGCCATTGTGAAACCCTTGAGAAGCACGGCCCACCGGCACGCTATCTCACAGTTATGTTTAAAACAATCTCCAAACAAGTAGGTAATAAACATACCCCCAACTTTCTGATTTTTGTACCTTCTTGTACCTGTCGTTTTTTGTTTTTTTGGGTGGAACTGGTCTAGGACGAGTTCAATCCAACGAGCATGAGAAGACTCAGGGATCAAGCCATTTTGGGTTGGGATGCGACATCTGTCAATCGGCTTGGTACTTGGGGTGCTCCCCTTCGGGACCCAAGTTCCAGTGGACCTCACTGGCATGTTCCTTTGCGGTACATCTCTAAACCTCCCAATGAACACAACGCAGAAGTGCATGTCATTGATCCACTATCAGTCTTCACCGCACTCGAACAGTGGCTTCTGCCCACTTGCCAAATCTAAACTTTAAAAGTGAGAGTGTTCAAGCAAAGCGCTCGGGCACCTCATGCTCACAATGGATGCACGAAGTGAATTGATTCAGTGCGCACCGCAGCAGTGAGGAAGCAACACTCTAAGCCCCGTTCGAGGCCTCACCTCCAAGGGCTTCAGACAAAGGATTGGAGGAAAACATGAGAAATTCAAATCTGTTGTGGCGGAATTGCAGCATCCACTTTGGGATTTGCATAGATGAGTCTATGCAATGCTCTCCCGGCCTGTGCGTAAAAATCGAAACAGCCGACCTAAATTGGCTTATAGTTTAACAAATCAGTATAATGTATGCAATGCTCTGTGTGATTCTTTCTGGCAACTCACAGCGAGCTTGCACTGGGTTGCCAGGATTCAGGCCTGCTGCTTGACTGTACGTTAAAATAATCTGTTGCGGAGTTCTCCAAGGACACTGTGCGGAACTTTCTCCAGGACTTTTCAGAGAAACAGCCATGCCTATGACACGTGTGTCAGTGCCAGAGGTTCTTTCAGGTCTATCTGGAGAAACGCGCTAAGGCACCCTTAGAGTGGGCTCCAGGGTTTTTGTTTTGAGCGTTAGCTTCTAGCTAACAGCAGCATCACCGTCAAGCGTCCAATCAAGATGCCGCTCGTATTCGTCGATGGCCTCCGGACTCAATACATTCAGTGGAAGCGGATGCAGCAAGGAAAAAACTAATATATATAATATATATATATATATGATATATCATATATATATAGATAGGAACAAAAAGAAGGTAACGGCCCCTTTGCAGGGGCCCGTATGTAAGGAGGCCCTTATACAATCATTTTTCTTTTCATATATTCTTCTGAAAGAAGACAAAGTCACAGTCTCGGTGGCTGGAACCTACGTAGTTTTGAACAAGAACAGATATCCCGTCCTGTGGCCAGTAGTAGTTTTTCCGAAGGCCTGAACAATGACTTGTTTGCAACTCGTCAGAATGGCAAGTTGTACAACCTGAGAATCTGTGTGGCTCTCTTCGCACTAGGCTTCATGCCGTTTATCTGGATTTGCTTGAAAAGGTCTTTCTTTTTGTGGAAGACTTCAAGAGCCTGAGTTCAAAGCGCACACGATCAAACTGGAGGTGGAATGTACGAGATGCTTCTGAAAAGTAGCAATACCTCACATTAACCCACAAAAACTAGCGTGCTCTTTCTCGCACCCCGCCTGATACATCCGTTCCATCAACATATTTTCATCAAAGCCGCAGAACAGGAACCTTGGCTCTCTGTACTTAAGCATCGAATTTGCTCAAGCTCATTCAAGCTCACTGTGCTCAGGGACAGTGTTTTGAGGATGTTTGAGGCGAAGACCCTGTTGCAGTCTCGCGGTCGCGCTCCTCATCCCAAAGCCCTGAAACAGAGTCCTTCAAACCTCCAGTTTCATGGACGATTGGCACCGTTCCATATGCTTGTGCATACATCTGTGGAAGGCCACAAGGCTCGTATTGCGATGGCATCAAAAGGAAGTCGCAACCTGCCAACATTCGGTGTTCAACCTTGGGATCAAATCCCACGTAGCCACATACTCTTCCCCGGTTGCGGTTCTCGGCGTTCGACAACTGGTTTGCATACAAGTCATCTCCTTTCCCCATCAAAATTATTTGCACACGTCCCAACACGCCACTGGATTCATTCTGCAGCAACCATGGGATGATCTCCGTAATGAGATGGACACCCTTTTGGTAGCACAATCGCCCACAAAAGCCAAGGAGAGCTGCTTGTGGGTCTTCCTGCAAGCCTAAGGATCTCTGTAACTCCTTCTTGCATGCAGCTTTGCCCTCCTCGAAGGTCCTGATACTATAGTTCACTGGAATGTGGGGGTCCGTCTTCGGATTCCATTCATCCGCAATGCCGTTGAGAATGCCAGCCATGCGATGCTGTCTCCCCTTCTCTTGGAGAATGCCATGCAACCCTTGACCACCTTCTGGAGATTGGATCTCCACGGCATAGTTCGGTGACACAGTCAGGACTCTGTCGCTGGCCAAGCATGCCGCCGACAACAGGTTCATGCAATCATCCCCGAGGTTCAAGTCCTCAGGTGCAAATGTAAAACTCTGCAAGCGCAGCTTCACTCAACACATATTCAAGTCAAACGGTCCTCACCCTGCAAGAACTGAATGGCCTGGGAAATGCTCAGGGACAAAGCATGTTATATAATGTGCACCTTTCTACTTTCATACATGTGTGATTGAACAGGCAAAGTTTGAACATGAACAGCACACGTGCCTCTGGTGGGAGTCCAAGGTAGCCATCGATTGGGAACTTGCTCAAACGATACTTGCCCTGATCATGCTGAATGTGTCAACGTTTTGTGACGAAGAATTAGGAGGTACTCATTTACTATGAAATCGTATGGTGCCTCTTTTCATTGTCGCTTACAAGCGTTTGTCGGGCCCGCCTGGTAGCCGATATTGTGGATCACAAAAACACACCTGGAGTTCTTGTAGGTGTTGTTTCGCCGGTACTTGTACAAATGATAAATCGGCAACAACCCAGTCTGCCAGTCGTTCGCAATGAAGAGCACATCCTGGGAACTGCTCAACTTCGGCACAGCATTTCTGGAAGGTTCATGTTGGAAGGTCCACTGATGTGTTGAAACAAATGGAGCAAACAATAAAGCAGTTCCTTCAGATTCCTTTGGTTTCTTATTCTCACAGTATGGGTCCTGGCCAAAGGTACTGCCCCTGATGTTCAAGACTAGCGGGGCTTCAAGCGCTGCCACTGTCAAGAGAGAGAAACGGTAAAGGTTATCCGGGAACTCTTTGCCAGTATTGGGATCACAATACAAACCTCCACGCGAAAAGCAATCATGGCCAACAAAGATGTAGTCCGTGCCATTGCCATCGCCAAGGTCTTGGTAAAGGTGGAAGAATTGCACCTCGTGTTCCCTTCCGTCAAGCCATATCTTGGCATAGCCAACATAGTGGGCACCATCATATGCACCGTAGCGTGGGGAGACCACCATGGTACGATGTCCCCTCATGGCAAACTCGTAGCCGTAGGAGCCGGCCACCATCGCGAGCCCGCCAGTCTTAGACCAAGGATTCACTTCTGATGAGACAACTACCACAGGCTTGGACAAGTGGTGGCTGGTGTACTTTGGTCTTTTGTCCTCAAGTTCATCAAGCTCCAATTGATGTCGTAGTTCGGCTTTGCCTTCTGGATCTTGGAGAAGGGAGTCCAAGGCTGACAGGGAAAAAACTCTTTCCATGCTGATGTTCTCTGGCCCAGCTTCAGAATTGGCATCAGAAACGACCTCTGGGCTGGTTGGAGTGAAGAATGTCAAGAGTGACTGTGCACAATACCTCTATGCCTCTTGCTGCAACTGTGCACAATGCCTGGCCTCCGTCCAGTTGTCGTTCGTTTCAAGGCCTCATGGCCGAATTGGTTTTCTACGGTCGGACTAAGTCTAAGTAGTAGCGATGGCCCCCAACCTAATAGCGATCACCTCCAACCTAGTAGTGATGACCTCCAACCTAGTAGCTTGTTGTTACTAAGAAGCTTCAAAAACATACTAAAATAAAGGTTCCAAACTGTTCTCAGCCAATTTAATCTTACACGCGGAGTGACGCGAAGCATGTCTGCAATTGTTCAACACCAGAAGGATCCAAAAGGCATCTTGCGGAACAAACTCTTGAGTCAAGTGCCGTTATGAGTGTTGCTGTGGTGTGTTTGTCAGTGTCCTTGTCGTCGCTGTTGCTGTTGTTGTTGTTGCTGCCGTCGTCGTCATAATGCAAAGGCTGCTGGTCAAGTGCTGGACTCAAACAGAACTAGTGTTGGTATCTGAAAGAACACATATATTACACAAATTATATAAATATATACACACATCGAATCCAATCAGGGTCGCACGACAACAGGAAAGCTGCAAACTGTTGAAGCACTGGTTGGATCCATGTCTTTAAACACGTAAAACCTCGAGGAAGGCAAAGCTTTAAACCCTAAGCCCATCTCTTTGCCCTAGGCCCGCGCCGTTGATCTGGATTTGCTTGAAAAGATCCCGCTTCTTGTGGTACACTTCAAGAGCCTGGATTCAAAAATATCCAAAGGGCATGCGATTTGTGCTGGACAAACTTCAACAGCGCATTGAGGTCTTTTAGTCCGTCATGATCCGGGGTGTGGAAAATAGAAGAGTTCTTGGGAGAACACGGTGTGCCAGCAAACACGCTTCATGGGTATAAATAAATAAGAGTATATATAATACATATGTATTGATGATAAATCCCTGCAGCTGGCTCTTCCTTCCAGCCTGATACATACGCTCCTTCAAACAATTCACATCGAAGCCACAGAACTGGAACCTTGGCTGGCCATGCTTGCTTGGATGTGCTTCAGCAGTGCAATCTCGCTCTACTCAAGGATAGTGCTGTGAGGATCTCTGAGGCAAAGGCCCTGTTGCAGTCTCCCGGTCTTTCTGCTCGTCCACAAGCCCCACAATAGAGGCCTTAAAGCCTTCGGTTTCATGGACGATTGGCACCGTTCCATATGCTTGCGCATACATCTGCGGAAGACGGGATGGCATCAGAAGGAAGTCACAACCTGCCAGCAGTCGGTGTTCAACCTTTGGATCAAAGCCCACGTAGCCACAGACTTTGCCCAGGTGGCTCTTCTCTGCGTTTGACAAGTGGGATGCGAAGGCGTCGTCTCCTTTGCCCATAAGGATGACTTGAATGCGTCCAAGCACACCACTGGGTTCATCAGTGAGCAACCATGGTAGGATCTCGGTGATGAGAGGGACCCACTTTTGGTAGCACAAACGGCCAGAAAAGCCAAGGAGAGCTACCCCAGAGTCCTGATGCAAGCCCAATGCTTTTTGCAACTCCCTTTTGCATGCAGCTTTGCCTTCGTCAAAGTTGCTGCGAGTGTAGTTCGCTGGAATGTGGGGGTCTGTCCTGGGATTCCAATCATCCGCAATACTGTTGATGATGCCAGCCATGCGATTCGGACCGTTTTGTTGGAGAATGCCATTCAACCCCGAGCCACTCTTCAGGTTCAGGATCTCTGCAGCATAATCTTGCGAGACAGTGAGGACTTTATCGCAGGCCAAGCATGCTGCAGACAACAGGTTCATGCAGTCATTGCCCAGGCTACGGTCCTGTGGCAAAACTCTGCAAGTGTTGCACAAAGGGCAGCTACACTAAACACACCACTAAAACCGTCCTCACCCTGCAAGAACTCAATGGCCTTGGAATCGCTCAAGGACAAACACAAACCACTGTGACTGTGACTATGCACCGTTCTATGATTGACGGAATACTCATAGTTTGCACATGAACAACATGCTCGCCTCTGGTGGGAGTCCGAGGTAGCTATCGATCGGGAACTTGCTCAAACGATACTTGCCCTGCTCATGCTGAATGCTTTGCACAGAATCCAAAGCAAGGCAGCACTCACATGCGCTACAATATATAATGCGTGTCTGGTTTTCATGGCGTCTTGAAGGGGATCATTTTTTCAGGAATTGTTTGCCCAGCACAACGCCTGGCCTGAGAGCGGATGTTGTGGATCACAAAAACGCACCTAGAGTTTTTGTAAGTGTCATTCAGCCGGTACTTGTACAAGTGATACACCGGCAACAACCCGGTCTGCCAGTCGTTCGCAATGAAGAGCACGTCCTGGAACACAAGTGTGTAGTGTGCCATTGTTTGTGAATTGGTCTGCTCTGCTCTTTTGCATGGAGGCACCGTGGAAAATTTCCCTCGCCTCTCTCTCTATACATACTGTATATAATATATTGTAATATGCTTATTCATGTTTATTCACTTCTATTCAGGTTTTGCTCCTGGCCGAAGGTGCTGCCCCTGATGTTCAAGACCAGCGGGGCTTCGAGTGCTGCCACTGTCAAAAGAGAGAAACGGAAGAGGTTGTCTGGGTATTCTTTGCCATCTTTGGGATCGCAATACAAACCTTCGCGAGAGAAGCAATCATGGCCCACAAAAATATAGTCCGTGCCATTGCCATCGCCAAGGTCTTGGTAAAGGTGGAAGAATTGCACCTCGTGTTCCCCTCCGTCAAGCCAAACTTTGGCACAGCCAATCTGCTCAGCATCATCATACTCAGCGTAGCGTGGGGAGACAACCATAGTACGATGCCCCCTCATGGCAAACTCGTAGCCGTAGGAGCCGGCCACCATTCCGAGTCCGCCAGTCTTTGACCAAGGATTCACTTCCGAAGACACTACTACAACGGGTTTTGGCACCTGGTTCGTTGCCTCGCTCGATCCCTTGTCTTCACGCTCCAAGTGGTCTCGCAGCAAGGAATCCAAGATCGACAAGGAAAAGCCACGTTCCATGCAATCCGGCCCGGAATCAGAGTTGGCGTCGGAGACAGCCTGCGTCTTGGTTCGCATCAAGATGTTGCTTTGGGCAATACAATGCATAAGTTAAGTTTCCCTAAAAATCTAGGAACCAAACGAATAGTGCGAGCGTGAGCTATCCTGCGTCCATGCTAGTAGGTGCTTGTTAGCTACTAGCTACCTCTCCCGACAGCTACCTCAAGCTACTACCTCCTACGTACGGCCTACCCCCCCTTAAAGACACACACACACACACAATAAAGCAAACAATGCGTCGACATCAGACATGCCATGGTGCTCAGCCATGCCTTTGTTTTGGGAGTCTGAGTCCCTGATGTTGGTGTATGGTGTCCCTGGCACAAACATAACTGTAACACATAGTCTGATAATAAAGGCACAGGGCCCAGCCACTGCACAGTACATCATCACTGCAACTGCTCTTGTTGGAACTACAAAACATAAAAGATCATAAAAGGACACACGACACTGGCACCGTGATTCCGTGATTTGAACAAAAAGATCCTGAATACATCACAAACTTCGCCGCCTTTCCATTGAACGCAACCAAACAACTCAATCTATGCTTCCCTGAAACTAGCTTGCTTGCTCTGCCTGCCTCTTTTCGGTTTTTGTCCTGGTGCCGAACAATCGACAATTCGCAAATCCCAACAAAAATTCGATTCGTCGTGTATATTGGAGTCAATACCTTTATCATCCTTTATCTGTTACAACAAAGGCGAATCCATGCACTTCTATGACTTCTATGCGGTTTTGCGCTGCTTGTTTGACGGATCATGTTGTGATTTGGTACTTGCAGTGGCTCCTCAGTCCAATCGGCGAGTGACAGTTTTGATGCCTCAAAAGTCCAAAGCCGAACACTTTCCGAGTGAAAGGCAATTTCAGCAGAACTCCAAGTTGATCCGCATTCACAAGTGGTGCAACCCAGCTAAAGGCCGGCCTTCTGAACCTCCTCCTGCGAGCAAACTCGCTGGTTCAAGATGTGAAGTACATGCCGGACTTTCCCGCAGAACATCTACAGTAAATGGTGTCTTGGAATCAACATTCAAAAAATACAAAACATGGAAAACACGTCTTCAAATTCCCGAACTGATGATGTCTGATGTGGTGAAGAATATCGTTTCATGTTTGTGTGAGCAGAGAAGGGCATTACTTTGAGATTTGTGAAGTTCTGTTCTGGCAACTAGGAACAAGTGCCACGCTAGTAGTAACAAGTGCCACGCTAGTAGTAACAATAAGCTATTAGAATTTTATTTAAAATTTGATGCGACAGCTGGATGCACATCATCCAGCACGTCATCATTGGGATGAGGCTCTGCATTTCACCACTGGCAGAAGCGTGCCCACTTCACCGCCGGTCGCTTACAATATTTCTAATACCCGCTGTATAGAGCATTATAGAACGAAATCTAGAAACACATGCGATACATAGCGTGGGGACCATCCCATCCCATATACCATACCGCCATACCCCTGTTTCGCTTAAAGACAATTCCTTGTCTCAACCAGTGCCAGCAGTGGGTGTCTCAATTCTTCCACCTCCACAAAGGAAGCTCATTAACATGCAAGTTCGCCAATCACTTGACTCAATTTCGCTGCCACGTTTTGCTGCCACTGTTCAAACACGAATCCGTACTTTTGATCTTCAGCACTTGTTTGGGGTTCCTGGAATTCGGCATTAATGTTTCACAATTTTGTGGTGGGGTGTCATAGATCCGTATGGTTTCACTTGATCTGTGTTTGCCCTTCTTTCTTGCCCCATATTTCGACTTAATGCCTGGCACACCCAGCCAAGCAAGCCAAGGCGTGTGCGGCATGCAAAGTCCGTAGACACATACAACTTCACCACCGGTGGAAAAACCTGTAGCAAAATCACACTGGCCCAGGACCAGCCCTTTGTCCTTCAAAATGGCGAGTTCTGCGCCCAAACAAACAAATACTCTGCAGCACCCAGGGAGAGACCACTCTGCGTACCACATTTGCCCTGCTTATTTATGAATGCAGAAGACCTAGGAACCGCAAAAGTACCTCTCATGAGTTGTCTTATTCGACATCGAAATGCAAACTAGGGTCTATACCAATGCAATCTTCAACAGCACATTGGGTTCTGACAGGCATGGGACATCTTTCGGACATGTAGCACGTGAATCCATATCATGTAAAGGTGAATCTCAAATCCACAGCCCATTGAACTCTAGCTTGGACATGTGACACTGTGAGCAATCACTTTAACGAATGTTATGGAAGTGCTCCCCCATTTGAGGAGCGGACAACAGTAATGCGTAGCCCAACGTCAATTGACATCCTTCTCTTTTTGAGTTAGGTTCATTTTCCGAAGCTTCACTTCCAAAGCTTCAAACAAAAATAGTTGTCAGTCTGGTGAGCTTCTGGGGTCAGCTCTGAGACTGACAAACTGATAGATTCATGTGACCCATGTTGGTTGCATCGATTATGTAGATGTCTTGAATGAGAACACATACATACAACAAACAGGTAAGGGCCCTTTAAATCTAGGGACCCCTTACCTTCTTCTGTCCCTGGTTCATTCAGCACAGCACAGAAACGTTGTAGGTTTTAAGTTTTGGGCATGAACTCATCCCTTGTTATGTTTTGTTTCTAAGAAGCCCATTTCGCCAGTTTTCCGCTGCGTGTGCCCAAGATCCTCTAAGGATATGAGCGCAAAATCAATTTTCTTCTGAAAGAGCTTGCAGGTTTCATTGGACATGTTGGTTGGGAAACTCTCCACTTGACCCCCTTTAAAGTCTTTGTGAAAAGACTCGTGAAAAAAGGCTCATCTGAACCTTTGACTGTGCAGGTGTGGAAGAACTTGTGGATGTTGTTTATAGTTCTTTACTTAGGAGTGCTTCTGTTGATTCAGAATCCCTTTTGGAACTTAGTTCTGTGATGCTTTTATGGATTCTTAGCTACAGTAGCTCAAGGCTCTTAATTTGCTTGCAGCTGCCCTTTTTGAGTTCAAGCTTTGCGCATTGGAGATTGAGGTTTCCAACTTAGAGTTTGTGCATGTTTTTTTTGCGCTTGGGCTTCTCATGGAGGTCTTTGGGGTAGGAAGCTTGTGGCTTGCGCTTGGGGCTTGCTGCTCAGGGTTTCGGGTAGGGTTCGGGTTCTGCGCTCAAGGATTGAACATATATCCTGACTCATCCTGGGCCACATGTTTGGAGCAGGATGGGTGGGGGCTTTTCAAGCTAGCCCAGCATCCTCCAACCTCACCAAGGTCGAGCATCAAGGCCTCCAAGTGCAAGGAACAAGGGCACATGCCGAAGAATTACCAAACGGCAAGGCAATAAGTCTATGAGTTTTCAGAGATGTGGGGAGTGCTTTCATTTAGCATGTCTCATGTTGCAAAAGTCAAGCATGTTGCAAGACAGGTCTTTGCAATTTGCTGTATGGTTCGGGTTCGCTTGCATCAAGTCTGCAGAAAGCACTTGGTCCAAAAAGCCAGTTTGCATTCTTTCCCCAAGGAAGTCAAAGAAAAACACCACGAACCATGGCTTCCCGCCGAAACAAATCTAGCAGCAAAATGAGGCAAATTGTCTCCTTGGTCCTTGGTATTCTCAATTTGCACTTTGGTTGGTCGAGGTTTGTGCTCTAAGCCTCTAAGCTTTGCCCTGGGGTGGCCCACACAGGACGTGTCCAATTTTGCGGTTTCTGCTGTTGTTGTTGTTGTCGTTGTCGTGGTTGTCGCCGTCGTCGTTGTTGCGCAAGTGCTGTGGCAGCTGGATTCGGTTTTTCGAGGACACCTGGAGTGAGTTTATGCGTGTTTCTGCCCCCTGTCGCGGTCTGGGCCAATTGCCTTGAACCGTGGCTATCATAGATCAACTTTATTGTTGACATAGTAATATATAACAATATAATATTGTGCTCAATATACCTTGCCAGAATCTGTTAAACTTGTCCGCCACCCAATATGCCAAAAGCACGACACAGCTTGCATAAAACCCAAAACTTCAATCCTCGATCTTGTCAGGCCACGGGGGAGCGACAGCTTCCTGCCAACCCAAGCACATTCAGCTGCAACATGCTGCAACTGTGCAGTCCGACACATGCTCACGTTTCAAGAACGTTATCTTCACGGAGGAAGCTGAGGGCAGGACACCCAGGTCTGGCAGCAATGACTGTGATCCCTGTTTAGGCCTTGAGTCCAACATTGGCGGCTCCTGCGCAAGGCCACGCGCCCCTTTGCCACTTCTTATCTATGTGCATTTTGTTGTTGTGATCAACATGCACTTGCTGTGAACCGTGACTTGAGAGGCCTCAGAGGCTTGGTGCAGTGCAATGGATGCCATTCTACAACTTCTATTATATACTGTGTGTACTGTTGACATTGCAGTCTCTCTGTCTCTCTCTGCCTTTCCTTAGGTACAAAACCGATTATGACATCTGTTGATATCCGATGGCCGTTGGACATA